ACTATCATAAATTAAAAGATTCTAAGAAGAAAAAAAAATTGTTTAATGTTCTTTGAAATTTGTCAATTATTATTAAATCTTTATAAATATTTTTTTTCAAGTTATAGCTCTATTTATACATTTGATCTATAAAGACAAACTTAATCAGGATAATGAAGCTAAATGAATAATAAAAGCTTTGAAGATAACTTTTACTTGTGAACCAATCTAGTATTGGGTCAAATTTTTTAAGGTATCTTTTATGAAAATAAAATATTGGACTTTTCTTTAAATATAATATTATCATAAATAAGAGAAAAATAACAAACTTTATTTATTAGTTTTTAATTAACATCCTAAATCTACTACAAGGTCTATAACAAAGAACTTCTTATAATTTTGGATTTCTTTCAAGAATAATATTCTTATTTAGAATGAAATTTTAGTCTAATGACTTTATATAAATGATATGAACCTCAAGTAATTTATGTCAATAGACATTTAAAAAAAATTTCCAAACTTATTAGAGCATGTCTTTAGCAATATTTAAATTCAATATCACTTATCAATCAAAAAAATAATATATATTATTAGATAAATTTTCTTAATAATTTTATCTTGTACTAAAAGAATAAGTAGCAACCTCCAATAAAAAAAAATTATTCTTTTAATATTGAGTCTTTTCATTTTTAAGAAATGAATTCAATATAAATGTTGATTCAACTTTTCTTAATAAAATTCAATCAAACATGTACTCAGCTACTCTTGTTCATGTTATTAAAAATAATTCTTTTAAATCTTATGATAGTTATAAATTTGAAATTATAAATAATTAATTATATTTTAAAAAACACATATGTACTCAAAAAAATGAAGCACTATTACGAGCTTTTTAAACTCATAATAATTTTTTAATTATTGGACATTTTAGATACAACAAGACTATGGAATTAATTTCAAGAGGTTTTTAGTGGCTTCAAATATTAAAGATAATTAAAGATTTTTTACAATTAGGTTGTATATTTTTAAGATTAAAAACTCCTCAACATTGATCTTATGGAATTTTTTAGCCATTGCTTTTATAAAAACAATCATAGTCTATTATTTCTATCGATTTTATCATAGATCTTTTAATCTAAAGTTTTTATGGCTCTATATTTGTAATAGTAGATGGTTTTATCAAGATGGTTTATTTTATATTATATACAAAATCTATCATAAGTAAAAAAACAACTACATTCTTCTTTGGTAATATTTATTGCTATTATGGATTATTAAGAGATATTGTATCTAATAAAAAAGTTCAATTTATATCAAAGTTTTAAAAAAAATATTTTTAAAATATTAAACTTAGATTAAAAAAAAAAAAAAAAAATGACTTTTTATCCTCAAATTAATGGACAGATTAAACAAGTAAATCAAGTATTGAAACAATATTTAAGATGCACCATCAACCACTATTAAGATGATTGAATAGCTCTTTTTCCATTAATAGAGTTTATCTATAATAATATAATATATTTTTTTATTCAAAAATCACCATTCTATACTTACTATGGTTATCATCCATAATTTAATATTTTTAACTTTTCAAAAGTTGATAATATTTTGATAGAAGATTTGGCAAATTATTCATTAGAGCTACATGAGATAATAAAGATTCAATTAAAGGAATCTCAAGAATGTCAAAAGATGAATATAAATGTTTATTGCAAATAATAATCTCACTTTTATATTGGTAATAAGATATGATTACTACGTTGTAATATTAAGATTAATCTCTATTGTGATAATTTGCATTATCATAGACTTGAACCATTTTTTATTTGTGAATAAATCAATTCAATTACATATGAAGTGCATCTATTGGAATCTATAAAGATCTATCATGTCTTCTATGTATCAAAAAATATAAGATATCAAATATACCAAGAAAAAAATAATGTCACTTCTTTTTAGAAAAATGGACAATAATCAAGAATTTGAATTAAAAGAAGTTTTAAATTTAAGACAACATCAAAATAGATTAGAATATTTTATACATTGATGTAGAAATAATATTAATAAATGTACATATGAGTGAGCCAAGAATCTTGTAAATGTAGCAAAGAAGGTTAAAGTTTTTTATTGACAAAACTCATCAAAATTAAGATAAAGCATCAAACAATTCTTTGTTAAAAAGTAAATAAGGTTGAATGAAGATTGCATTTTATCTTTTATCTTAGTTTGTATTTTGAATCTGTATTATAAAAATAGATAATTAATAACCAACATATTTAACTCAAAATTTATTGTTTGCTAAGTTATTAGACAAGATATTAAGTTTGTTACAATCTTCACAATGACATAATAGAGACAAAGATCTTCAAGAGTGATATATTCTTCATTGAATTGATGGTGAAATATAATCTATTTGATATCACAATCTTAGAAGAAGCTTTCAATGTTTTGTAATATTATTAAAGATAGAGGCCAATTTTGATAATAATCTAAATGATTTTTTGTTTGAAGAAAGTTATGAAGGCATCAATAACAATCAAATATCATGGTGATCTTTTGTCTTAATGCAAGATACTATCAATGATTTAGAGGACCTATCAACTACCTTCAAAAAGAACAAATATTACAGTATGTAGGAAATACATATTTTTTTTAGATTAAAGAGTTAGATAGAAATATATAGAAGTAAGTGGATTTGATATTATATTGTGGAGAAGCTTCTTAGAAACTATATAGATGTAGATTTGACTTTATATATGTTTATAGTTGATTAGTAGGTTAGAAATTAGGCCAACAAATTGGCTACTTGTTGCACATGTTGACTACTTGTGGTACAAGTTGGTTATGTGGCGCACATGTAAGAAACTTATTTTACAACTTAGACATGTGTTGGAGGTCCTATAAAACATTACTATGCAACTCTTAGTTAGATAGTATTTATAGAGACAAGAGTGAGGCCTTTCTCACTCTTATTAATTCTATTTCTTGCTTCTAATTTAGTTTCAAGAGTCTTTAATTTTTTATTATTTAGCAATAACAATTTGAGTTTTTTTTTTTTTTTTTTTTTTTTTTTTAAAAAAAAAAAAATCTTTTATTTATTTTTTTTCATTTTTCTTTCCATATATCTCACTAGTTTATTTATATTTTTTAGTTTCTTATCTTTGACATAAACTCTAAATCTTAATTTATAAATTCTTAAATCTTTAAATTTTAAACTTAATATATAATTGATTCCAATGTAGAAAGAATAGTTTATGTATATGTATGTACATATAAATTTTAAAAAATATTTTTAGTAAGAATTTTAAATTCTATTATTATTATTATTATTATTATTATTGTTATATACATACATACATACATACATATGGACTAGTTTTAAAATAATTAATATAATTATTTTTAATTTTTAGATTTAATTTTTAATTAAAATATTTATTTCTAAATTTTAAATTGATTCATTATTAAAAAAAAGATTATGTGATTTATGAAAATGCATATAATTAGAAATAAATAAAAATATTAAATAAATTATAATTTTTAAAAAGAATTTAAAATAATTTTCATTTTCCAAATACTTCTATCAATTAATATTTATGTTTAGATCTTTAATAAAAATATCTATTATTGTAAATATAATAGAAATAAAAAACTTAATTTTAATTTAAAATATGAATATTTTATAGCTTGAGAACTATTATGTATTTTAATTTTGTTGTTATATTAATTAAGTTTAACATAAACTATTTATGTCTTAAATTTTGCATATCAAATTATTAATTTGTATCTTAAGCATCAATTTCTATTTATAAAATCTATCAATCTAATTAGCATAAAAAAAAATCCTTACTTTATATTAAAAATGATAAGTCAAAACAAATTGTTGTAGTATAATTGAGTTGTAGTTTATTGAATACTTATTTTGCAATAGATATTAATTAAGATATTTCATTGGAATTTGGTATTTTATTTATTTATTCTTTTTCATCCTTTCAAACATAGTTGTTATTTGATTGTTAATATACTAGTGTCTCTCTTTGTAATATTAAATTGCTATGTGATATAAAACTATCTTGTGTACAAACAAACACCATTTACTTTAATAAATAAATAATTTATTTAATTTCTAAAAATTATTTTTTATTTAGATAAGTATATAAAATTTCTCATATATATATATATATATAAATTTAGTAAAAAATGATTTCTTTCAATTTAGTCTAATAAGGAAATTTATTTAGTTAGATTTTGCATCATATATATATATATATATATATATATTTATTTATTTATATTCTATTTATTGGATGCATTATAAAACTAATCTACTTTTTTAGTATCATTTCATCAATGCAATTTACTTTTTTTCTTAGATGGTAAATTTTTATATAGTTTATTAATTGCAAAAGTCTTTAAGTAATTTTAGAATTTGGGAAGGAGGTACTTAGAAAGATGTGAAGTCTCCTCAACTTATTTTCTCTGAGTTCATATCTATTTTTGAATCTAAATTTTATTTAAATATTTTGAAGATAATGTACTTGTTTTTAATTTCATTCTGATTGTACAACATGATGCTAATTTTTAGAATTTATCAAAATTTATTTTAAATTTAAAATGCTTATTTTTTTATTTTTTTATTTTTTTTCTATACTCTTTTTGACTTGCAGAAATTTGGTTATTGCTGAAATTTTCAGTCTTAAAAACAAACGCAAGTTAACGTTAGCATGAGGGAAAAGTGCCATGAGAGACTGTTGAGGAGCACATAGGAATCATCACTATGGGTGAGAAATAATGTATGAGTTTGCTTTGGATTAAACAAATACTATCTATGAATTGTATTGAAGTGAATTAAATGGATTAAATAAACATCACAGTAGACGGAACAGAGTTCGCGGGTGAAGGCTGGTTCGGAGATGACTAGGTCCGGACACTGGCGAAGAGGTTCGCCACTTCAGTAGGCTCGGGACATAGGTTCGGAGGAATTAGGGTTCGGAGGCGGGGTTGAAGGGGCGGCACTTGCAAAGTTTAGAGGCCTTTAGATGTGCAGAAGTCGCCCAAGCCAATTCCTTCTCTGATATTGCAGCTTTTTTGCAGTGCTGTAGCATCAGCAACAATGGTGTCCGGTTCAGGCCTTTGCGCCAAGGTCGTCGTGGTCGATGCTCGCCACCACATGCTCGGCCGCTTAGCCTCCATCCTCGCGAAAGAGCTCCTCAATGGCCAGAAAGTGGTACGTCCTCGGTCACGCTTATTTCCCCGATTTTTCAACTACCTGTGTAAACTTGAATTCGTTCGCCTGTGGGATTCGCGGATTTTCATATCCTCGCTTTTGTTCAAACCAGGTTGTTGTACGTTGCGAGGAGATCTGCTTGTCAGGTGGCCTTGTGAGGCAGAAGATGAAATACCTAAGGTTTTTGAGGAAGCGGATGAACACCAAACCCAGCAAGGGACCCATTCATTTTCGATCTCCTGCTCGTATCCTGTGGAGGACTATCCGCGGGTACGCCTACTTAGCATTTCTCCGTTGATGAGTACGTTTGTTTGCCAATGCTTGACACTCACTTGTCGGTGACCATGGTGTTTTAGGGTTTCTAACGTTAACCATTCGCTTCTGGCGTGTTGAAGATACTGAATGTCTCATAACCTCTTAATTAAGGTATTTCAACTACTCGGCGTTCTTTTTACATGCGCAAACGCTTCTTTTAGAGGATCCAAGTGCTTCCCCTATCCTTGAAAATTACACGAACAGTGCTCCAACGAAGCATATTTAAGTTGAAATCGAATGTAGGTATATTAGTCATTCGTCGCCAGGCATGCTCTAAGGTGCTCATTCTACCGTTCAATCGAGAACCCCTCCTATGCCCATAAGGTTTGGCTACGGGTACTTAGCTGTAATAGCTCAAAAGCGTTTTAATAGTCTTACTCCAATGTAAACATGTCAGCAACATTGTTAAATTTCAAAAATCAATTTCCTCGACTATTCCGCTTCACACTGCACTAGTCACATACTAATTTTTTTGGATTTTAATTTGACTCATTTGAACTGAAGCTTTTCTTCTCACAGGTGGTAACTGTGCGGAGTTGTTACTATCACGATAACTTGTTACAATATGTTTAAATTTAGCTTATCAACGAATGCAAATGAGTATCATTTTTCCCAGTGAACAACATGAATTACTTTGTTTATTCCCGAGGTACTGTCGAGTTCTAGTCAATACCGTTTATGTTGTTGCAGAATGATCCCACACAAGACCAAAAGAGGAGCTGCCGCCCTTGAGCGCCTGAAGGCCTTTGAAGGAGTACCTGCACCTTACGATAAAATGAAGAGGATGGTCATTCCAGATGCGCTCAAGTGAGTTTTAATTGAAATCTACGTCTCCATTTTGGATATTGTTGGTTGTACATCTACTTGCACTAAGTTACGTCCGACGGTAGCGCAAATGTCATCACACTAAGTAGTACTGGCTTTGTCTGCGTGCTGATGTATGGATTGGGAATGCAAGCAGCATATCTTTAATGGATCTGATTGAAGTTACAAGATCAGAAGTCTAATCACTCCCTTCTTGTACAGAGTATTGAGGCTGAAACCTGGACACAAATTTTGTTTGTTGGGCCGTTTGTCTGAGGAGGTCGGATGGCACCACTACGACACTATCAAGGAGTTGGAGGAGAAGAGGAAGGCCAAGTCCAAGGTGTTTTACGAGCGCAAGAAGCAACTCATCCAGCTGCGGCTTAAGGCCGCAAAACGTGTCGAGGAGCAGCTTGGCTCTCTTCAAGAAACTTTGGCACCCATCACTTACACTTCTTAGGTCTCAGCTATGCGAACCTCGCTTCCTTTTTATGCGTCACTGTCTATTTAATTACACCGACGCAGTTTGGTGCTTGATATTCTCACTTTTGTTATCGGTGACGCTTGAATTTGATTTTCAACGATGTTTACTTTTTGAAACCAACGTGAATGGTGCAGCTTCTCACATACTTACTTAAGCATCCCATATCCATGACGACTATTACATTCAAAATCATCTCAACTGTTGGCATTCACCTATTTTTGCATCTGTGTCTTCGAGGAATAGCAGCCGATTACCTGTAGTTCATCCGAAACTGTGTGCTGCAATTGTAAAAACAAGAATAGTATCTACCTAACAGTCTCTACCTCCACCACCATTCTAAATTACTTAAAGAAATTGCAAAAGTTAGGGGCCTATGGTAATAATAGGCTCGGAAAGCTACGGTACTCAAATTTGTTGCTCAACAACAGGAGTCATGAGGTGCTGGAGTAACAACTCCAAGTCACGACTTATGGGTATGGTGGAAAGGCACTATTGTATTAGCAAAGAGGGAGTTGACTAGAACACTCATCACTACTGGTGTAGTTAGTTGTCAGGGTGCTATTTCTACATGTTAGATATTAGGGTTTGTTCATTACATGTAGTATCGAGGTTAATGGGATTTGGTATTATAAAAGTTATGGTCAGAAGATGGTAGTTAATAGTTCAAAAGTTTCAAGATGATGAAACTATAGTATATCATTTAGAGGCTTTGCAATGAAAAGAGAAAGCAAAGGTCCTTGAAATAGGAGAATAGAGTGAGGCAAACCTCTTACTAATGGCTTGAGATCAAGATGATGTTCTAAAAATTAAAAGTAAGAAGAGTTTTGGACTAGTTCTATTAGCAATTGTGGAAGAAGAAAACATTTTTGAACAACTAACTCCATTAGTAGTATTGAGTGTTGAGTTTTTTCTTGTATCTTTTGGATCTTCTTAAAGAGACAATATTAGATTGCATGGATGGTTGACAAAAGAAGTATTTGAAGTTCCTTTCTAAAAAAATCACTTAGGTTAGAAAATAAAAATTAATGATTCTATATATTCTTTTTAACTTTTGCAAATGGTAGCTCTTTAAGAATAAGAAGTAATAAATTTAAGACAAAAAGATCTTGTAAAATTAAGAAGATTTGAAGTAAGAATATTTTTAATTAATATCTAAAGGTATTAATTTTTTTTAAGGTTTAATTTTAGATTACAATAGTTGTAATATTTTTTGATACAAGATCCTCAAATTTATTCATATACTTGACTTGTGTTACACAATTCAAGTTTCATTGTAAAATTCATATTTCTATAATAAAGTTGTCAAGCTAACTAAGTGTTGAGAAAAACAAAATTTTAATTTAAAAAACATGAGTTCTAAGAAAATATTTATAATGCTCAAAATTAGTAGAATAGATGTGATACTAAAAAGTTGTTTTTATGAATACCATGACATAGGAATTAAATAACGCCTTTAAATAGGTGTTTTAATAATAGAATAATTTAATAAAATTAAGGCATTATTATTCATCTATCTACCCATAATAAACAAGTTGAAGAATAAGTTAATTAGACAAAATAAAATAAAATAAAATAAAGAGATCAATTTTTTCTTACCAATTGTGATATTGATTTTGATTTCTTTATAAACAAAATAGGTTTAGAAAACCAAAATGTCACTTGTAATTTTATTCCTTGTCTTAACATAAATGCAAGTTAAAGGCAAGTTATTTAGATATCTTAATAAATATGCTTTAAAAATAACTTCTACCAAATTGAAAAATTAATCCTAAGATTGACTTTGTACTTAGCTCTAAAAGAAAATCTATTACTTTTTTTAATCAAATAAAGTCAGGAGAATTCACTTCTTTTTTTCTTTTTTTCTTTTTGTTTAAATCGAAAATAAAATAAATTATAAATATGCATTATATATTATGTATTCAATAAGAAGCTTATTAAGGAAACAATCCACTTTTTATAGGTAGATGTCTTGTCAAATCAGCTAAGGGAAAAGAAGCGCTTTAATAAAATTGATATAAATAAAGATATTATATGATTTGCATTACCAAAGTAGATGTTAAGAGAAAAGTATTTAAAACAAGATAAGGATCATATAAGTTTATAATAATGTCTTTTTGATTATAAAACACACAAGTTATCCTCACCACTTTAATGAGCTCTTTTTTGAAGAGTTAAAAAAATTACAAAAAAAAAAAAAAAAAAAAAAAAAAAAACTCATTTGTGTGGGCCTCAAATAATTAAAAAATAATAACACTTGAGTTTTAAAAATCATATCACAGATAGTAAAACTATAAATTTTGATGTAAAAAAATTAGTAAAAAAATGGAAAGCCTTTTTTTTCTGTTTGACTTTTCCATTTTTATTTTTAAAAAGATTACTGGGCATATTAAAATCAGCCATTTATTTTTCAATGATACAAAAATCTTAAATTGTCGAGAATTGTTTTTTGGTATTTGTGTACGTCGTCATTGTGAACTGGAAAATTAGAAGCATGAGCCTCATCGCACTCTGGTCGTTGTTGGTCTTCGAGATCTCCCTGCTGAAAAATAAATGGCTGTTTATAAAATTGCTTGATCCATTTAGTGAGACATCGGAGGGATCGCGTGAGAATCCGCTATTTTATCACTGTAAACTGCCATTCTGAAACAGGCTTGCATTCGATGCGTTTTTTCAAGTGCCAAACCGAGACTTACACGGACCATGCCTTTACTTGCCATAGATTTCATAAATCGCCGTAAACCGTGAGAACTGACCCACAAGGAAGGATGTGCAGCACATACCCAGAAGTAGGTCAGGACTTCCTCGCCCTGCTTGTCGTTCTGCAAGTTTCGCTCTAACACAACCCCCCTTCAACGCTTCGGTGGCAATCTGTTGCATCACCCCAGAAAACTTCTTCTTACAGATCCCAAATCGCACTGCGTTCACGCACGACGCCACGTGCGTTTAAAATCCAACGTTATAATGCAAAAACGATGACTTCAACAAAAACCACAATTGTGCAAGTTTCTTATCTTATCTTGGTGCCCGTGGTTCTGGTGACGAAAGTCTTGCCCTACGACTGTAATCGTTGCGTAACATCCACGAACTCCATGTCAACGCACATACATGGAAATCCTGCAAAACCATTATCGAAACGCGAGGGGGAAAAACCAACTAGCGTTTACAGCAAGAGAATGAAAGTTCAACGTTTTCTTCTTGTCACCTTTCTTCTCCTTGCAGATACGCTAGTTCCTACCGACGGCCATACATGCAGACTCCCAATGCTAGACAAAATCTCTGCGCTTTCCGTTTGCGTTTATTCTTTCAAAACCCTCATGTAAGAATCCAATCAACTCCACTCTTCTCTGATTCGTTGCCAAACTCCGATTGGTATACATCTGGCTCCGAACTTGTAAGTCTGAGTAAAGTATCGGGCTCCGTCTCCTCCCATGTCACGCTGTCCAGAATTGATGCGCTAGAAATGGATCCGCCAACAAGCAGGCATCATGTTGGTCTCAAGGTTTTGAATGGAATTCTAGTCTCGTTTTTACGTAATTGCCGTGCTTTGAGGGTTTTGTGTTGCTGATGAATTCTTTCACTGTCCTCCTGAGCCTTAAGACTGGGCAATTGCAAGTTTAGGTTGTTTGTGAAGGTTATCCTGGTTTACCACCAGCTAGATGCCGAAAGCAGGGATCACAAGGCAAAGCTACCAAAATCTGTCGGAGGGGGTGGAAAGCCACTGTAAAAAAGCTACCAGTGCTCAGCAAATCAAGCGCATTCAGGACGGACAAGCCTTCGGTACTCATGCAGTTTCTGGTGTGTAAAGAGCTGCTACATCTTGTCGTAGCCCGGGGTTTTCCCGTTAATCGATTCGAGCCTTTGCTTAACAGCTCAATGTTGAATCAGTACGGTGAATATGTAAGGCTTCTAGCTAAGCGATGGTTATTCACCCACACCCCATCAAACTGAAGAGCTTTCTTCTAAGAGAAACTCTCTTTCATTCCTCTCCATGCCATGAGCTGAGATTGCTTGCAAAGCAGACCTAAATTTGTCTATAATAACCACGACAGATATCCCTGGTGTGGGAAGTGTGCCAAGTGGATCCAGCCTTGAATAAATGAATCTGGCCTGGCCAATCCGCGTGATCAACAAGACTTTATTTATATTTAGCTTCCGACCTGGCAAAGGCGCTAGAAGGCCTTGGCCAGGTCGGAAGGCCGTTTTCTGCGTCTCAAGGCGGTAAACGGCCTTGCTCTTGCTTTGCTTGTTCGTGGGTCGGTTATGCTGGTCGTTGTAAGCTTGGATTGCTGTAGAAAACGCTTTTTTATCAATTGGGAACAAAGTACCTAACGAGGTGAAATTTGCTTAGGCTGTGGAATTGCAATTGTCGCTCTATCAAGAGCTATGAGGAGGAGATTCGGGATTCTGGAAGCGCAGTCTGATGCATTGCTTCATGTTGTGAGTCTCGTTTCTGATCATTGGTGACGTGAATATTTCATTCAGAATTTCGTCCTTTTTCTTTCTTGAATTGTTGAAGCACTGAACGTAACAAATTCTCATGCATTTGAGGTCAGTTCAGGATCAAGTCCTTCACTGTGAGTGGTATTAGTTTGTGAAACAAATTTGATTAGCCGCGATTCCAGAATTAATCTCTCTAATATATACAACTCACATTTCGGCAATCATTCTGCCTGTTTTGAAGGTTGTGATATACTTCTGATCAATGGATTCGATTGGAGTTGTGAGGGTCGAGGTGATAACATTACAGAGAGCGCTTTAGAGGTGAGTGATCGTCAACTGTAAAAGCGAGTTCCTGCTCAACACAAGCATATGTCAAGGGGGTGTGTCCATGATTTTCATAAAAAAATTATAGGATCTGAACACCAACGTTGAATTGTGATTTACAGCTTCTACTGAATGAGAAACTAGAAAGGAACAGCAAGGGCAATGAATGATTCTTCTCACAAAGCGGAGTCTCTAGGTCAAACTGGTTTGCTTCTGTCCTCTGCCAGCGAAGGCAACGTAACAAGAATAAATGAGCTACTGGAAGGAGGCGTCTCAATGGACTCTTGTGACTATGATAGAAGAACGGCTCTTCACTTGGCTGCCACTGAGGGTCATTCGCATGTGGTGGAGTTGATGTTGAAGCGTGGTGCCAACATCAACCCGGTGGATCGATGGGGCGACACCGTAAATTCTTCTCCGCTTCGCTCATTAGACGTTTCTTTTCAATTGTCAGTTTTCACACCCAGATTGTGTAACTGTTAAGCTCCCAAGTTACCGGAGTCACACATATCGGTTATTGATTTTAGGGATCTAATCGTTTAGAAACCTTTGATAGATTTCTTTGTTTTATGCAGCCTCTATCTGATGCTCGGAAGTACGCGAAAGGAGCCGTATCCAAGATCCTCGAGCAGCATGGTGCAAGGATTGAGCTACATGAATTCAGTCGCGTGTAATTATCGGAAAAAACTGTGCTCCGAGCGAATCCCATGTGTGCTGAATCCACAGAATGTGGCCAATGTATGTGATACAGGATGAGCGAAAGCTTGCACCGTCATGCGACGTCTACTCCTCTTTCCATTACGAGATTGGTCGGTCTGAATTGGAGTCCCTTTCCAGTACTCCATTTCGCAAGGTGGTGACTAACTGGATTCACTACTTTGGTGTTCAAGGGTAGTTTTTTCCTTGATTGCGCGGGTGAACCATATCCCTGGACCTTGTGCTGAAACTCTCCTGTCTCCAGACCCCACGCAGGAAGTACGCTTGGTGGCCTGGCGGGTTACGCATGTGGTTGCAAGAACTCTCTTCTTATCGAATATAACAGATCCTGACATATTGTAAGTGGAATGGGACATCGGTGTTATCAGTTGAAGATTTCGTGTGCTAGGTTTTCTCCTTCATGTTGTAAGTGATGAATTTGACCAACCTTGTTGGTATGTTTGCGTTTCGAATTGTCAGTACCACGAAGTTAAGGATTTCTGTGACAGTCATGTTAGTGGACATGGATTCTATACCGAGAGTAGGTTCTTGAGGCACAGTAGTAAACCATTCTTTGTTGTTGAATGTTGGCAAGCAGTAACATTCTAAAAGCAGAGCTTCTCATGCTTGAACGAATGCGTCATCCAAACTTAGTACAATTCCTATGATCTCTTACAAAGACTCCACCTCCAGTAATCGTCTCTGAGTACCTTCCAGGAGTATGTACAGTGTTTCCTTCAGGAAATTTTTCTTTTTGTGTTCCGTATCTTAATCCACGATAATTATCTACCGATTTCTATTTTCTTCTCCCACATTGAATCTTAGAAGTGTACTTACGCCTCGAATTCAAAAAATCGTTTATGTCTCTGAATTTTTTCAATATTTTATGTATTTATTTATCTATTCTCACTTACTAAAAAGGTCTGGAGTGCAGGGTGATTTACATGTGTTGCTTTCAAAGGGGCCTGTGTCGTCGAAACGAGCTGTAAATTTTGCACTTGATATCGCTAGGTAGATCCTATCACCTCCCTGTAAACAGTCTCCTGGTAACTGTAATCAGATTGTATACCAGAATTGCGAAGTGGCAATGTTAATGTCAATGGTCCTTGTGTTTAGTTTATTTCTGTAACGTGGAACTGTGAGATGCACATGCAATATGCTCGCAGAGATAGCATGAGAGGATGTGAAGGACTTATTGACAAGCTCAGGATACCTGGAACATTATCGTGATGCAGGGGCTTGAACTGCCTACACGAGCGTAGAGATCCTGTTGTGCATGCCAATCTAAAACCGCGGTAAGTCTCATGCCTTCTCCTTAAATGTGTCGAGTGTGGAATCCGTGTTCAGCAGCTAACTGCCACTACATGAGAAAAAAAGATGTAACCATTGCTCTAAAAAGTTACTAAATTGGATGCAAAACCAAATTTGTTTTTGTTCAGTAACCTACTAGTAAACGAAGCCGGACAATTGAAAATCACAGACTTCGGAAAGCTACGAAGAAGCCTCTATACAGAAGCACCTGAGGGTAATGAAATTGGCTCATGTAAGATACCTTTCTGCGCTCTTTGAATGTGATAAGTTATAATGTTATTGAGAAAAACAGACCTTCAGTGAGAAAGAAGTGCCACCACGACAACCGGTAACATGATTCCATATGAATGCTGTGTGCTTTTGTCTGCCACCGTTGTATTCAGACCTTTATATGGCGCCAGAGGTTTTTCGACAAGAGCAATTTGACAATAGCGTGGATGTTTTTTTCCTTAGGGCTCATACTGCATGAGGTTTACTCTTCTGACTTTGTCTAAGCCCTGGTGCAATTTCAATACATGAGTGAATATCAAAGCTTCTTTGTCGAATCTCATGACGAAGTCCTCTTTTTCGAGATAATCCTAGTAGTGAACTTTCTGTTTTCCTTAAAGTGTCCTGCCCTCCTAAATCTCACCAACTCAACGAGAAATACGCTTCGAAACAGGTGCTGGAGGGCCTCCAAAACAGGACCGATGCAACCCCACAAGGGATTGCAAGGAAACGAGCATACGAGGATGTGCGACAGGAGTTCAGGACGAATGCTTATCCACGGGGCATGAAAGAGTAAGCATGAGAAGCAATGCCTATGATCTTCCTTGCCATGCTGCACAGACTTATTCACGTTGTAGTGATCACAGCGGTGCATGAACCCACCTTGCAAAATCCATATACATACTAAAATAGAAAAAGCACAGCGATGACATGAGTCCGGGGGTGGGATGGGTGCGGGGCAGGCTCATTCAAGCGTGCAGGCATGGATACGCGTCCAAGCGGCCAGCAGTGTCAGAGATCATGAGACAGTTGGAGGCGATGGAGCAGCCGAGATGCAGGAATTCGGTGCAGCAGAAATGGCAGCAGAAGAAGTGTGGATGTGGGTGTGTTCCATGGTGAACCCTAAAACCTAAACCCTAAACCTCCCCCTCTCAATATAGTCAATGCCCACTCCTGCACTCCTGCCCACTCTGCTTTCCAGCATTAAGTCACCCATTTCATTAGGTTTAGCCCACCCAGAGTGCTCCACTGCTACCACCACATTTTTTGCCTGTGGACCTTGTGGCATGGGAATCCCAACGCGCCCTATCTATCTATCACTGCAGCCTTTCATGTCCAGTTTGTCAAGCATCATCTTATACTCAGCGTTTTATTTTCAGTTTTTGTGAATGAAACACTTTCCTTTGTCAATAAATTCATTAGTCCTGTTACATAGATGGTAGTTTTTATTGTGAGGGATATTCTTTACTGTTTGTTCTAAAAATGGGATTTTTTTTTTAGATGAATCAATTTTGGTTTGATTTAAAGGATTTCGGATTTAATTTACAAAAAATAAATGTTAAGTAAATCAAACTGCTTAAGAATTCCAATTGATTTAGAGAGACTGTTATAATCTATTTTTTTTGTGTTTTGCAATATGTCTACAAAAATTCTTTGTTATGTTATTGATTGTAGTCGATTTAAGAATAATTGAAATTTAAATAATTTGTTAATAACATTTTATGTTATTTTTTAAAAAACTATTTAATCTAGTTATTATATTTTTTTAAAAAAATCATCAAATATAGTATTTTTGGCCTAATTAATATTTAAGGGAGTGTTAAATAGAACCAAGCTTTTACTAAATCAACCCATCCATCTTAACCATTGTGAAAAATAAATAAAAATAAAAATAATTTACTATTAGATTTGCAACTAATGAAAGCCAACCACATTTGTTATGATTACCACATTCTTCAACATAGTTGTAATCATAGCCACTTTTCATTTTTCTTGCCTTTCTCAAAGACAATCCTAATTTTTTGTTTAAAAGAGAGCAAGAGACACACTCCAAAATAATCATCTTGCCATGCCTCCTATCTCCGTCTTCTTATCTATCATGTCTCATCCATTGTTGATTCCTTGCACTTGTGGACATCTCCAAAGCAATTGCAAGAGAGTTGTGTGGATGCATGTTGATGGATGTGCAAGGGTGTGTAGACATACAATTGATGCCATGAGGTAGGTGAGAGTGCAAGCTCGTGGGAGTAAAGGTGGAAAAATGGCATCTTGACACACAATTGATTTATAAAAAAAAGAGATTTGCATGAAAAATAAAAATAAATTTTGGTATAAGATGTAGATATGTTTCCCCGACAACATGAGAAGATTTGTGTGCCTAAATGGGTGGCTATAGTTTCATAGTTTTGAAGTTTGCGTCATTTACTTGTTGCTTTATTTATGCCTATTGTAACACTATAAGAAGGTCAAATAATAGTTTTCTCTTTAGAATGTTTTAGGTATGGACATGTTGTAGATGAACTGTTGTTGGATGCCAATAGTGTTATGTTAGAAGAAAATTGCAGTTTTTAGAGTATTTGCATCTTTTCTTGCAAATTTTTAGTATTAATCACCCTTGTTTGAATTAGTATGTTTTGTTTTTGTAATATTAATCATTGTGCTAAATTGGTTGTTTATTGGCCTTTATTGAATACAAATTTTGTGTTTTGTAGCTTTTTATCCTTTGCATAATTAAAGTTCTAGTAGTACTGAGAAATTCATTAGATTATTGCAGTCTCAGTTGCAGTCTCAATTCTTGTAGTAGTCTTGTTTAAAAAGATCAAGGACTTGGTAAAGAATTACTTATTTGTGGCAGATGTATTGCAATGTTCAACATAATTAGAGAGTTGATTGTATACATGATTGTTTTGGTTATTTTCATTCGTTAATTGCTATTATTTTATTTTAAGACATATGTAATAATAGCTTTGATCCCAAAGCTCCATAGTAATGTGGTTCAATATCAAGACTATTTATTTATCCTGCTATACATCATATTGGTTATGTTTTGGATAAATTTTGTGTTTGCGCTATGAACATGATTTTCAAAATAGGTGGTAAGTAAGGATGGGAAGAAGGTCTGACAAGCACATCCACTCTTAAAAGTTGATATTCAGAAAATTCAGATCACTTTATTCTATTAATGTTTTTTGAAAACACCTTAAGATCTATAAATTAGCTTGTGTTTGAATTCTTGTTTGATTATATCATTTTTTTACTTTCATAACAACTATGGTTGTGATTTTAATTATGATATGTTCCTAAAACTATTGTGTCACTGATATTTAATTTTTTTTTCCCTTTTAAACACCTTGCATTATGATAATTTAATGTATTATCATTAAGTAGGTACATACTATTGTAGCTGAAAATTAACCAAAGAACCCTTTCATTTAGATCATTAAATAGTTGTTTCAAAAACTCAAACATGTATTTATTGTTGTTTTAACAATTTAAAACTATGAAGGAGAACATTGGATAGGTGCCTCTCCATGTCTATTAAAACTGTCTCAGATAATTCATTGCTTTGCACAACTTGTCCTTTGGACAGCTGACTCTTGGATTTTTTAATCTCATGACCATTGATACAAGCTCCAACAATTTTTCAAAACCTTTTTTGGTTAGTGGGATAGTAGCAATTCAAATGTACAACCAGTGACATCAAAGACATAGTTAAGATCTTTAAAAGAAGCAAACCAATTCAGCAATAATATTGCAGCCATCAAATCAAGATTATTCACTAGATGATATTAAGGATAAAAATCATCAACCATCAAAATGCCACTATTACATAGTATATTTCAGATTTGATGTTTATATAAGAGCCTCAATGTATTTGTTAATATACTTGTGCAAAGAAAATTGTTAATATCTAACAAAGCTTCTACACATATGTATTTCTTGAATATAAGATTCAAAGTATATATGGACATATGTTTTATAATATTTGTGAATAAACCAATGTTATGTTCATAGCATATATTGGTTTATTCCAAACTCTCATGTGCTTTGATTTTAATTATATTTTTTAAAAAATAAAAGAGATAAATTCATACTTTTTAAAGATCTTTGATTGATACTTTTAAATATGACTTTAATGCCAAATGTTGAGCCCTAGCTTACCATGTAATTACACTTCCAAGGATAAGTCTTGTATTTGTCCAAACTTTAATAAAATGTCTCTTGTATGATATTCAAGTATTTTGTAAGTATTCAACAATTGCATAGGCAACTATGGGAGTATATTTGGTATAAAGATTCGACCATTCCATATTGTAGAGCTATTTGGAAGTAACATTCATCAAATGGGTGCAATATGTAAGAAATAGCAACTAACTTGCTTTCAATTCAATTGCAAAATATTTTTTGGAATTGGCTATTAATTTTTTTTGAATGTGCCAAATATAAAGTAAGAAAATTGAAGTAAAAAAGGCAATTTCAATGACATTTATTAGTAAAAAAATCCCAGTCAATATCAATGCTTATGAATCAAATATTTTATATGATTAAACTAATTGGATTATTTTCTGATAAAATAAAGGCTTTATTTCTTCTTGAAAAAAAATAACCACAATAATAAAAAGAAGTATTAAAATTGGCAATTTTCATATTAAGCAACATGAGCATTCTAAACCAAATTTGTATTATATACACATTCTATAACAATAGAAGATAAATATCTTATTGCAAGTTCAATACATTTGATATTGTGTTGTAACACAACTATATGATAAATGAAAAAAATATGGATTTTATATATATTTTTTAATTAGGCTCTTCTATAAAAAAATAATTAAGGGAATTTGTTAAAGAATTGATTTGAAGTGATTTGGATTAATTTTGAGTTGAAAAGAGTTTTTCAAAGTCAAAGTTGTTTTTAATAATTTTGGATTTTAAGAAATAAAATGGAATTCATATGTTTAATAATTTTGTAAATATTGTAGCAAATAATAGATATAATTTTTTGAAGTTGTAAATTTGATTGTTTAAAATATTTTTAAAAAATTTAAGATCAATTGAATAGTTAGATTGAAGAGTAATAAAATTTTATTGGATTAGGATCTTAGTATATTTGATTTTTAGGATAAATAAGAATTTTTGTGATCTTAAAAAATCTATTGATTAAATTGAAGAAAGTTTTTGTATACAAATATTGAACTTATCATGCAATATTTTTGTCAATTTTGAGAGCAAGTAAATAATTTAATAAAGAATTTTTGTTTCTAGAAGATCAATATTTAAGATAAGGAAAGAGGATGGCTCACACAAAAGCAAACTATAAACATTTTTTTTCAATCAGTATGTTCAATTTTTACCAAAATTCTTATATATTTTTTAATTAATATATTGCAATATGTGTGAATTTTTAAGCAAATTAAATGATATAATTATTAATTATTGAGTTTTTCAGTCTGTCATAGGAATTGGTTAGAATTGGTTAGCTTTTAAATAAAATTTTAAGGATTTTTTAGGATTATTGAAGATTTTTTTAGTATATTTTTAGGATTTAATCAAGATTCATAAGATTTTATTTAGATTTGGTTAAGTTTTATTTTTTAAATGTTTTTTAGGATTTTTAAAAATATTTTAAAAAATATTTATAATTTTTTTTAAAAAATTTATTTATGATTTTTTTGGAAAATTCTTTAGAATTTTTATAAGTCTTCTTATGGATTTGATTAATATTGTTAAGGTTGAATTGTGGTTTGTTTAGGATTCTATTAGGATTGTTAGGATCTTTGTTTGTTATAATTTCTAGTTTACCTTCTACAACTAAATACTTAGTACATTCTTTAAGCAAGACATTGTATTTTACAATATTGAATTCTGTAATTAAGAAAGAATTTAAATTGTTGCTTTTATTGCATTAATAAGTAAACAAATAATTAACTACATACAATATTTTTTTAGATAAACAATGGATGGATGACCATTAAGGATAATATGACATAATTGTTTGCATTCATTGTAAATAATACATACTATTACACAACTTTTAGAATCTTTTTTAGGTAGTACAATCACTATGTATTTTAGCAGCATTCATGCCACAAGCATCTAAGCTATCATCTCTTTTTCTATTGGTTAAAATTGTTGAGCAATTAAATGACATATAAATTATACTGAAGGCTTGTGGTTATAATAATTATTTTATACTATCAAAGGCCAATGTATACTACCATGCAAATAACATGCATACAACTCAAATATGTATCCAATTAATTATCTTGTTGTGTTTTGCCAATAGATAATGTATTTTTGTTCACTATAAATTTGTCTTATGTTATATTTGAAATCTATGCAATGCTTATTAGAGCATCATTTGCAAATTACATATTCTTGAATCTATCTATCTATCTATCTATCTATATATATATATATATATTTTTTTTTTTGTCTTCAAAACATTCAAAAGATTCTTTTGTTAGAAGAGACATATATAGTATATTTTTTATTTTAAAATACAAATAATCTTAGAATAGATAGTTTTTATTGAAGAACAAGCACTATGAAGTTACAACACTTAGCATCAGCAAGGTTGCTTACAAAGAAAGTATGGAGTAAGATATCTCTCACTTCTAACATACGTTACTTATAGGTGGTAGCTGCTGCTTCAATAGACAACTTCCATTCTTTGATGAATACACCCATCTAACATTCTATTGAGACTATCTATTGTTATCTTATCTAATATGAAAATATATCTTTAACATATTCTCTATACTCTTAAGATCCTTTGTTCATTCATCTACTTTATTTCTTGGCCTTCTTACATACAAAGAGCCAATCTTTTAACCAATAGCAACTTACTTGAAGTAATATCCTCTACAATGTTATTTATTCTACTTTCACTTTTACTTATATATTTTAATAGTTTCCTCTCTTTCTTTCTCTTTAAAGACTAGCAACAATTTCAAAAAAAAAGTAAGACTAAAGTGCAAGGTAAGAGGAAAGACAATTGCATATATAAGAAGTTATAGTCTTAACAAGGCAAGGCAAAGGAAAGAAATTGTTTATTGTAGTAATTGATCATTAATTATTGTTACTAATAATATTTCTATGGGTATACAAACTCCATTTTTTAAAAACCATGATTCTATTAATTCAAATGTAAATGATGGTTATGTTGATGAAGATGAGCTCAATAATCTATGTACCAATTTGTGATGATGGATGGATGAATTTAATAAAAAATTATATCAATTTAATATTCTTATATGTTTTATTTTTTAATATTTTTATGAAATTTGTAAAATTTTATAATATTTGGTAATTTTTTTAAAAAAAAATATTTACTTTTTTAAATACTTTGTGTTGATAAGTTTTTTTATATCTTATTATATGATTTCAAATATATATATATATATATATATATAGAGAGAGAGAGAGAGAGCTTTTGGCATTATGTTGCTTTTGAATTGTCTAAAACTATGAACCAACTATAAAAGGCTACAAATCTTATATATTCAAAAGTTTTAAAATACATTTCCTATAAGTTGCTTAGATATAAAAGATAAACTCAAGGTTGTGTTGACTTAGTTATGGCACATGGTAGTGTCCTATTTCCAAAACATTAAGCAATTAGACATTCTTAAAATCTATAAATAAATAAATAAATAAATAAATATTATAATTTTAAAAATACCAAAATACAATTTTGCTATGCTCATTTCTTACTTAATGTGTCCAAATGTTAAAATTAGATTACACATTTTAAATGAGACAAGTCATGAATATGTAACAATAATTATTCTAGAATAAAAAATAAAATATCCATTAGATAAATATGATAAAAATTAGTCAATATTTAGTAAAGTCATTAATCAAATTTATCTTAGTATCAAATTTCTTTTCAAATATATTATTTTTATTATTATGATTATTATTATTTATTTCTATTATTTATAAATTTTCAGATGGAACGCAGGGGATGAGAATATGGAAATCATGTCTAGCACAGTAAAGTAAAAGGTGAACGAAAAAGGAATGCAAAAGAGGAGGGAAGGAGGCGTGCAGGAAGGGAGGAAGGGGCAGGCGAAGGGAAGTAGGTGCCACTCACTAGAGCAAGGGGGGCTGTACGAGTGAGTGAGGGGAGGGAGGGGAGGAGGGAAGGGGTCGGTCAGGGGCAGAGGGGGGCCAGTGGTAGCGTGGGACCGGGGGAATTTACAATATTTTTCAATAGAGAATGTGTAAATTTAAAATTTATTTAAATAATAAAGTAAAATAAAAATGTAGCCAATCTATGTATTATTATGCAAAGGAATTAATTATTGATGAATTATTTTTTAGAAAATATTTGTGATTGAGAAAAAATTAATGACAAGATTTTGTGAGTTGCAAGAATTCTTCTTGACCACGAAAATATTGAGTGGTGTTGTGTACGAAAACAACAACCAAAATAAAATAAAAATAATTTAAAATAATCGTTTGAAACAAGAGTGATGGTTGAAAAGTGGGATTGAGAAGCAGCCCCTGAGCAAAGTAACTTCAGTACCCATGTGAAAGTGGATCAGTGTGGGCCCAATGAAGAATGCGTTCTTTCCCAACCTGCCACCCTCCAAACTGCCCACCCCTGGTTCCCCTCCGTTCCCTCCGTCCGTTCCCAAAAATCGGATCGACGGTTCAAATTGCATATAAGCGACAGCCGCGATCCGACGGCCCACGGCGGCGGAGCCAGTCGATTGAATAGGGAGGTATCTGTGACGAGGGGGGGCATGGCTGCGGCCACATTTCTTTCATTTCCTTCATCTTTCCATGCTGATCCATCACTCTCTCTTTCTCTCGTTTTCTCTTTTTTTTTTCTCTCTGGGTGGTGCTCGCAGCAGCAGGGTGCCCTTCCCTCGTCTCTCTCTCGCTGTGTCTCCGTATGTCTCTGTATCTCTCTCTCACTCTCCCAGGGACTTATTTAGTCTCCGAGACTGTTCATTCCCATCGCTGACGTTCCTGCTGCTGATTTTGGATTTAAGCCCACGTCTCAAGCTTGTTGCCACATTCCATTCCTCTACAGGATTTGCCTCTCTACCAGTCGTCGCTTACCTTCACCATTGGAGCCTGCGTCCGAAATGGCTAATGGCCAAGTCGTTTGCGTAACCGGGGCGAATGGGTTCATTGCGTCTTGGTTGGTGAAGTCGTTACTGGAGAGGGGCTACACTGTCCGAGGAACAGTCCGCAACCCAGGTGAGAAACCGAGCCTCCTGCCCACGTTGGATTTGTGTTCCTTCTCCCTCCCGATGGGTTGCTGCGGGGGCGGTTTCTGGATATCGTTTTGTTCATAAATTTGGGTAGCATGCGGGCTTTTAGGAAGTTGGGGGTACATTCTCCATTCTCGCGGTGCAACTCCCCGTTATCCCCGATGAACCTGTAATTGGGACTTTTCAATGGCCACCCTAATTGTGTTGCATAAATCTGATGCTAGCAGGCTTTATTTCATGTCTTGTTTGATGTGATACAGAGAAATCTAAGCATCTATTGAACTTGCCTGGCGCCAATGAGCGTCTCGAGCTCATCGAAGCCGATCTTCTCGCACCCGAAGCCTTCGATTCTGCTGTACATGGCTGTCATGGTGTCTTCCACACGGCCTCGCCTTTCCATTTCAACATCACCGACCCTGATGTTCGTAACCTTTCTCACACGATTTTGAGCTTCTCAACTATTAGCTATTGCATGAACTAAATCATTTGCCTTGATTGGTACGCAATCGTTTTTACATCCCCCATCCTAGCTGACTAGATGATTCTATTACAGAGTCAGTTGATTGAGCCAGCAGTGAAGGGAACACTGAACGTCTTAGAATCTTGCGCCAAGGCAGGAACGAAAAAGATTGTGCTCACTTCCTCAGTTGCAGCTGTCGCTTACAGTCCCAAACGGGCTGGGGCTAGCGTTGTGGACGAGACCTTCTTCAGTGATCCTGAGTTTTGCCAAAAAGAGCAGGTAGGATACTGACCTTCGGGTGTTGGGTTCAGTTGCGAACAGTTGAAAATGTTATCGGCCAAATATCATGTAGTCATGTGCAAGTTTGTGGTGATCGTGAATATTTCTGATCTGCTCTTATTACAGAGGTGGTACGTGTTGTCCAAAACACTGGCAGAGTCAGCAGCATGGGAATTTGTGAAAGAGCACAATCTGAATATGGTGGCAATCAATCCGACCATGGTGATAGGCCCTCTCTTGCAAAGCTCCATGAACACCAGTAATGAACTTCTTTTGGGGTTTCTAAATGGTAAGTGACATTTTCAATAATCGTTTCTCTGTTTCCAGTTTGCGGCATCCTCCGTATGCATTTGTCGAAGACCTGTCTCACGATTACCGTAAAAACATCATCTCAGACTGAATTGTTAGTGTCTCCGAACGCTAGCAATTACCTAGAACCAATCCTTTCCAGTCAATGAAGTGAACGGGGTCAGTCGTGTACTATTCGATACAGGCACTGCGAAGTCATTTCCCAATCAGGCCGTTGGGTGGGTGAGCGTGAAGGATGTAGCCATGGCTCATATTTTGGCTTACGAGAAGCCAGAAGCAGAGGGTCGATATATTATCAACGAACGTTTAATTCATTACGGCGAAATGGTTTCTCTGCTAATGAATCGTTACCCTCAGTATCCTATCGTGGCTAAGTGAGTCTTTCTTCTTTCAACTTCATTATACAGTATAACCTAATGACTTAAGAAGTCTTTAGCCGTTACTTCTTTTCCATTCAATTATCTTCTGTAGTTCGTTCTTCAACTTGTCACGTAGACAGGTAGCTGATGAAATGTAAAAGTGCGCCTGTTGATAGAAGCTAAAATTTCTGCTTTGCTGATGAGTGGTGTGGTGGTGTTGGACATCTCAGGGATGCGGACGACTCAACGCGATTGCCTTCATATAATTTATCAAATGAAAAGATTAAAAAACTTGGCCTAACCTTCCAACCTTTGGAAGAGGCACTGGATGAGACCGTCGCCTGCTTCAAGGAATTGAAGCTTTTGGACTGAGTGAAGTCTTGCATCGAGAGTAGGGCGGGTTGCAAACTGCCTTAATTCTCGCATAGCATCAAATACATCTTATCTTTTCAATGCCAATTGATTGGTACTCACTATGCAAGTTGCATATTCCAGCATATAAGTACCAATTAGAAGCTATTAATGCATTTTAAAGGACTTAATCTCAGAGTATTCACCTGTTACAAAGTTCAATGCGGACAACCATCTACTGTAATCTGACATACCTTAGACTATTCCTCATCACTCTTTTAATACGAAGTGAAGATGGACTTAAGTCAATTACATGAAGCTACCTACCCACAATGCGATACAGCTTTATAAAGCAATTACCGTCAAACCGTTTCCTATCTGAGACAACAAAATCCAATCGAAAAACATCTATTTCAATTCACGATAAAATTCTGTGCTTTGTCACACATTTAATACAAATTTAGTTACATCTAAGATGCACTTCAAAATCTTTCTGAATGATCAGCCCAAATTCGATCGAGACTGATTAAATTCCTCAAGCATGGCAAGTACTTAGCGTGGAATACCGCACAAGTCGAACTACCGACAGAATGTGGCGAATCCGAATGAAACTGTCATGTTCTCCTTGCTCTCAAGTCCACTCATGCGCTTCCAATATGCTGAAATGTAACATAATGTGCCAAACAAGTACTCATGTTGCAGTGCAATCTATAAGGCCAAAAGATTTCAAAGACTAATACCTGATGCTTTCTGGAGGTTCCTCCTCTGGAATCTGCAGAGCGAAATACTGGCACATAAGAGCGGCAGACAATATGCAATTTGACGATATAAGCCCATCACGGCTAGAAACAATTGATGCTAGGATTGCAGTATGTAATGAGAATAAAAGACAAAATGATCGGTTTTTGCACAGCAGAAGGCATAATACCTCCCCTAATTTCCAGGTTTCTTTTTGCCAAATCCCATCTACGCCAATAGCAGTTTGCTTAGTCGATGGAGGTGCTGTACCGAGCGGCAATCTGCATTCAGAAGTTATATTGTCAAGAAAGTTCTGGAGTTTGTAACTTCTGGAACATGTAAAATTAGTAAAAGTGGAGAATTTAGTTGGGTAAAGTACAACTAACGTATTGAAAGTTGCAGGTGGGATTACAGCAGGAGCACTTGGTTGAGGGTTTGCAGCAGGAATGGCGAATGGCGAGGTTCCAAAACCACCTAAAGTGGTGAAGGGGGAGGTTCCAAAATTAACTGAATTTGTCGTACCAGCAGGTTGAGCAGCTGCTGGAGTGCCAAATCCACCTAGTGTACAACAAGTAAAACTACCATCAGCGCAGGACTACATAAACCTGTGCAACAGTATGAGCCCCATGTTTGCCACACCTGCGTAATAAGCTAGCAGGGTTTGGCAACAGAACTTATTTTAAAACAGACTGTCACTGATCCCAAATTATATGCACCCAAAAGCACACGCATGCAATGGTAAAGAAATTAAGAGATAAAACCGCACTCAGTGATTTAAAACAGCAGAAAGTAGTAGCAAGCGCACCAAGACACCAGCATTAATTAACACGTTGTCAGGACGTTTAATCTAGGGTTCTAAAGCATACATAAATCAGTGGAGAGGTGGCATCACACAGAAGAAATATTTTAGTCCGGAAAGACGAAGTGATATACCTCCAAAAACATTAATCCCGGTTCCAAATGGGGTTATTGTTTGTGAACCAAAAACACTCTTGGGAGCAGATCCAAAACCGCTCTGACCTAATTGGCTATATTGGCCAAACCCACTGGACTGCAAAGAATTAGGATTCGTGGGTGTTTTGTTAAACGCGTTTGAAAATCCGCTTCTGCATTTTGGCCACAGAATCATGAGACACAAGTGCTAGGGAAATTTGCAAAGAGGACACACCCTTAATGCACTCTTTTAACGGCATATTATGAAGCTGATGGCCTAACTACCCTACCATAAGTTTCGAAATATGCAAAAAAAACATCAGGAAGGTGAGTTTCTTGTCATTCTAATAATAAAGTAATCCCATTGATGCAAAAGATGCACAGTTTGATCTCTAGCGAGTTCAGTCGTGTAGCATACCCAGCTTGTGGAGTAGTTACTGGAACTCCGAACATTAGCTGTGGTTGGCCAAAGCTTCCTGCGGGGGCAGCACTTTGATTCTGTGTTCCAAATCCAAATCCTGTTTGAGTGTGGCTTGTGAACGGAGACGGTTGAGTTTGTCCCAGCGGGGTTCCTCCCGACATTTGAGTAGCTGGACCTCGGTATGGATTCCGTTGCAGAGTTTCAAATTCTGCGATTTTTGCAGCATTCATAGAGTGTTCCCTCCGTACCTGACTCACAACCAATCACAATGGCGCGGCAATCATAGCGAATTCAGAAAAATAATAAAAACTCATGTATGTTACCTTTAAGTCCTAGTAGGTCCAAAGATGTGATACTACAGGATACTGGAAGCCAAAAACTCATGTTATGATGTTCTCAGTAACACGCGAGGCCACTAAAATCAACTTTGATAACTCACAATCTCCTGAAAAGGCAACCCCTGCTTGCCACTGTCATATGCCAATGCTCGTAGTTCTTCTGGGCTGACGTCTCCGCAGATGTCATTGGGAAGGCTGCGAAGGCAGGCCACAAAACATAAGTAGAGGAGTCTTTTAGTATCAGCTTTAGTCGATTTTTAAATCGCAATTAAATTCGATTGTTCATTTGACCATCTAACAGTCATTCGGACCTGTTGCAATATTCACACAATGAATAAAACTCAGGCTCAGCGATGGAATCGTTACAATTTCCAATGTGCGTAGCTTGTTAAGCGCCAAAATGTAGGCTGCTCAGTGCTAATATCCTCCTTGATTTGATCCTGGCAAACCTTTGGGTTACCGCACCTGCCTCCAAGAAACCGTCATTCCAAATTAGAATGGCGTGTAATCTTTCCGAGAACCTTATTGTAAACGATCCAGTAATTACGTATTCAAATCGGATTCAATAATAGACGGTTAACACAACAAATAGCTGCAGACAGCACTAGCCTGTGATCTTTAGGTGCTGTCGATTGCGGTTGCGTTGTTCGTTGATTGTTAAAGTAGTTAGGGGCATTATTGAAAGCTCCAAAGCGGTTTGTGCCGAAGCCCTGCAATCGCCAGGAATTATTGCTCAGAACCACTTACATAAAAAAATGGCCGTTAAATCATGTCTCGTACACATCGCCCAGGTAACTCACAGGTTGTGTCTGTTTCGGTCCAGAATTGAATGCATTCTGCTGCTGCGGCGCAGAACCCGTCTGATGCAAAAATTTACACCGTGTGCCAAACCGGCAACTGCGAGCAGAAACATTGCTAGCTTAGCAGATGAAAACACCCATAAAAATTGCAGATCCGCAACGATTCCCTAGAACCAGGATACAAATAACAAGACCCGAGAGAAACCACAATAATGCTCATCTGGTTACAGAACTAAGGAGAATTACTACTAACCTTCCCCGCTGAAAATCCCGACAGACTTGGCGAGACATTGAAAAGTTTCACAAAATTGATAAAGCCAACGAAAACAAGCTTCAGCCTCGGTCAAGAGGAACTACCCGATCCTCGTAATGTATACATCAGCTCCAAGTTCGGAATTAAAAGACAATTCTGTAAAGAAGTATGGTGCACCGACGCCCACAAGGAAGCGAGGACATAGTTCAGTGGCCTACAGTAAAATACAGTGAGGAGAGGAGTCACCGGAAAGGGAGGCGGGCGGGGCAAAAGAGTAGCAAGCAGCGTCCACACAACAAAACACCACACAACACGACGGGGATTGAAAGCAAGCAATCACCAAGGCTCCTCTCCTCTCTTCATTTCCGTCGTAAACCTAAACCCTAATTGAGGGTTTGCACTGACGTGCACACTCACTCACTCTTGAATCATTCACACCTTCGGCCTTATGAAAAGAGAAGAAGAGAGTTACTCTTTTTCGTTTAATCATTTTTGAAAAAAACTCCACGTTCTTTGTGGACCCCTTTACATCAACCCCTACAAGGATATAATTTGTAGTGTTTTCCAACTGTAGGTATTTTTATTGCATAAATTGAAAATACAGCATCTTATTTGGATGAGTTCACATTTATTTATTTAAAGTGTTTACTTTTTATAAAAAAAAGTGTTATAAAAATTAAATCTATTTCTTTCATTTTTAAAATGCTTATTTTCATTGGATGTTGAATCAATTTATGAGCAGGTGGTACTTTTCAAGTTTAATGAGATCTAAAAGGATTAGATGAGGTATTACTATGTATATATAGGCACCCTTGCAGCCCCTATCCTTGTTCCAAGCCATTCTCCATTCCCAACCATTGCTAAGGATGGGGGATTGAGAAAGGGGGTGATAGTTGAGAACAAGCGAATAGTTTGGAATAGGGACAAGGTTGAAAGGACACAATGATGGTTTAAACATGTGGGTCGATTTGGTAAAAAATTGGGCTGCTATATCATTTTCATATATATATATATATATATATACATATAAAGTTGTTAAAATTACACCCTAAATGTTGTTAAAGCCACACCTCCAAACCTTGTGATGATTAATTTTGGAAGACATAGAACAATGGATGGGGATAGGGAACGGAGAACGAGGGCTAGGAACAAAGGATGGAGGACATTAAACAAAGAACAATGGTAGGAGATGGATGGAATTGATCATGAGATGGAAATGTGTGCCATGGCTGCAACAACTCCCATATATATATAGGGAATTGCTACATTGACCCACCCATCAAAAATTATAAATATTTTTACACATATATAAGGAATCACTAAAACAACCCACCCAACCATTTTTTCATTGGTTCTCAACCAAATTTATTAATTGCTTGGGTCGATTCATCAATATCCTGTCTCTCTATATTTATATATATTTATATTTATTCATCACTTCTGAATTGAGTTAACAAGGGCAAAGTGTAGGTTACTAAAAAATTTGCACTTTGAAGTTAAAAATTATTAATGTAGGTTACACATATGAAATCAACAATATTCAAATAACTTGACTTGAACAGGTACAATTGAATAAATCCTTGATATTGAAAAGCTGACAAAGAATCAATTTGATCGCTGAATGTGTGGAATAAGAGTCTTCTTGCATCAAATTTACCAAGTTCTGGAACAACCGGCAATGGATGAAATGAAAAAAGAGCATCCATACAAATAAGTACTGTTCAAAAGCAGAAGAAGAAGAAGAAGAAGAAGAAGAAAAACATTTGTACATTTATGAGGTTGTCAGACTCCAGTCCACTCCACTCCCCTAATTAAGTGTTCCGTTACTTTCCATCTACAGTAGGATGTTTTCGCACGTCGAAAACAATCCGCTGCAGGAAAGTTGTCATTTTACATCGTGACAACTCGAGGATTTGCGAGTTTTGCCTCCACTCCGTTTACATATTTTTAAGGCCAAAAGCTCCGCTCTTTACACGCATGTTTTCTCGTTGTGCTTGTGAAGACCGAGAAGAAGATTATCAAATTGGTCTTCCTTTCGTTGCCATGTACTGTTCAACTTTATTCATGTGCCGTTGGTGCTTGTTGCGGTAATTCGTTACAGCCCAGAGCGCAGTCAACAGGGTAAAAAATATAGACAAGAGTAATATGGAGATCCACATGCTGCGAAGGGCCCGATTGAGCGGACGACACCTCTGGTTGACAAAGTTGTTGAAAGTATCGAACACTATTGAACAGTTCGCCAGTCTAGAAAGCATTGGGATGGTGCCGAGAAGATCATCCGCTCCTATACAAGGCAAAATGAGAACCTCGATCATAATGTGCCACACGACACTTACAGGTTGAGAAAAATCGTTTGGAGCAGATGCTAACCTTGTGAAAGTTCGTAGAGAGTTGAATTATTTTCTGAGCTGACCCAACGACCGTCTGTGAAACAATCGAAATTGGACATGTTCTCCATGCACACATAAGGCGCCAGAACCTGCAATGAAGGGGAAACACGCAATCTCCTCTTTACTACACCAACGAGAAGTGTGAGATCAAATTCAGAGGTTAACATTCTAATTCGCTGCATCTCTGATCTTGGCATTTATAACAGGAATGACTTACAGCAGGAAGTTGACTAATTGGCAGTGTTCCTTCGGGACAAGTCTCTGAGTAAAGGTAATCTGGCGGGCCACCAATTGGGTTGCACAAAGTGAGAAGCTCGCCGTTCCCCCTCCCAAAGAAGTTGCTCGCTCTCTGAATCGTGACTACAGTAGAATTAGCCTGCCATGGAACAATGCTGATCTTCAGTCACCTAAAAAATATGTGGAGGGGTGACATGTGTAGAAGCTTATGTACACAGTATATGGTTCATGAACGAAATGAGCACAAACCAGTTCGATGACATCGCCAACATTTTCTCGAACACTGATAAGAGCAGCGTTGGAAGTTTCCGCGTCCACACACGGGAGAAATTCGTCCAATGTGGTGTTCGCAGGCGCCTGCAGGAACTCGTTCAGCGCCAAGCACGTGTCTGACGCCACACTGAATTTGATCAACGCATTTCAGTCAGTCAATTCAGGGTCATCGCTTTCAACGAATTTTACAAGAACTCGAGGGTGGATCTTCAAAGCAACTAAACAAAAACGCTTCAGAGCCTCAGCATTACAACGTTAGTTTCTGTAGCAATGAAGTGAATGGAAGGGATACAGTACTCACTTTTTGGACGCAAACAAAAGGCCGAACATCACCCATACGCAGGCAGTCAAAATCCATCCCAACATTATAAACCTGAAGAATGACAAATATTGGAATTATAATCTAAACTCCAAAGTCTAATCACTGTCAAAATTTGTGGCTGTTCAAGAAGCTTGGATAAGTAATTGGAGAAAGATATACTGCTAAGAACCGGATAACTTACACGAAGAAAATTCGACTCCATCCCAGGAACGCAGCCACTGCAGGTTACCAACATCATCCACCATATTCAAATGAATCATGAACACCAAAAGGGAAACACATACAACGGCATGGGATACTATTAATTACGATACTCTGTACGCCTAAAATTTCCTTCATCAAGCAAAGAAGTCGGAAGAAATCCTCACAGAGCCCACCGATGACGAGAACGAGGCTCAAGGATAAGACGAGAATCAGTGAAATTTTCCTGCCATAACAAACAAAGCTTCAATGCTTTAGGACGATCTGACCAACGCATGTTTCCATCTTCATACAACAGCATCTATGCACGATTGCAGGAAAACCCAAACTCTAGGGAATCGTAAAAACTAAGAAATTCTTACACTGCATCGATGAGCCTGTTGAATTTCCGCAGATTGTTGTTGATTTTGTCAACTACGAGGTCAGCTTGCGTATTCAGTTTCGCCTCCGTCGAATTCAATGCTTTCCATCCAGGGATGTTGTACTTCTCAAGAACGTCTTGCACTCTCCCAAGAGTCGAAGTCACTGTGTGTATCGTGTCAGTCGCTACTATGGCGGCTCTCAATACGGTGCTCTTGACCTTATCGGTTTGTGAGAATGTTTGATGGTTAAGTGCAAACAATGTAGCAATACATGCTCTGCAGAGTCATCAATGGACAGGGCGTTCATGAGAAATAAATGTATATAACAAAACATATGCAAACAGAAACCTCCCCAAAATTTAGATAACGGAAGAACTCAGATTTAAATTGAGGTGGGGCATTGCTTGATCACGTACATAGCAATAAAAGAGAGAAGCAGGACGACGAGTTTCGGAACCAGGTAATAATTTGATGGATGATGCTTATTAGACCTCGGTCGCCGAGAGCAGCGTCGGAAGCATGCAAGAAGTGCTAGAGCTAGACCCAGTAGCAGCCACGCTGCCGCCACACCGTATCCGTAAACTCCCGTGAAGACCACGGACTGCATAGAATCCACAACTATTGTCTTTAACGGTTACTGACAGTCACCGACAGTGCTAACTATGGCGAGCTCGTGCCAATTAGCAAAGCTTGCTTCAGAGTTTAGGATCAAGGCCAGCAATTGTACCCCCCAGTAATTCTTGCTTGTCACATCGTAGCCGTCTCTATAGCGTCTGAACTTGTTTGTTGGATCAATGCGGTCGCTCCTCACAGCCAGCGGCTTGTTAGTGAAGAGCCCGGTCACTTGCAGCTGCCGTCTCTCGTGGTAGTTCACTGCTTATGACAAATTTTAGACAATTCAATTCAAACAAAAATTGTGGATTCCACTCAGCTCAGTCATGCTAGCTCTTGTATAGTTATGATTATCTCGATCATCCTATCACAACTCTCAAGAATTTAGGAAATCCTTTATTGCTCCGATGTAGTCAGGCACCCTCTATTTTATCTGAAAAGGATAATTGCACATAGTACATTAGATAGCAAGAGTTTGAAGTGGGGTACGCACCCAGATGTTGCTCAAAGTCGTAGGCAGCGATCTGGGTGTGGTTTAACAAGCTATTCTGTGCTACATTGCTGCCACTAAATTCAATCACGGCAATTCTCTTTAATGCCAAAATAACTTCTCCTCTAGCGGAAGCAGATTCAACGGTGGTAGTGAACGCAGATAGTTGCAGAAGAAAGACTGCTGCAACGACATTTACGAGAAGGGGCGACCTTCCATACATTTTAGAGGTACATGTCCAAAACAGATTTGTGAAATTTTCCAGGGCCCTATACTTCCGAGTTTCTCGAGACATGCTGTCACTACCCATGGATAGTTCCTGCTCACAACTCGGGACACACCCGGCGCCTTGCACACCCACAACTGCGTGTGGACGTCAACCTAGTGACCCATCCGGGCTATTAATCATCGCTAGACTGCAACTACAGGAACTCAACATCGATCATCACACGCAATCTTCACCGAACAGATAACCTTCAACTAGGGCACTCCTAGAGAAAAGAGTCGCGTCGCCGACTTGCTTCCTGTACACACAAATAAGAACCGATTCTAGATACTACTGACAAGAACAATTCGAGACAACATGGATACGGATTGAGTCAATCTCAGGTGGCATCGATATCAGAAGGTTGCGTATGGAGGCTCAAGGTAGTTAGTCTGTAAGGAGTTGGTCACCGACCTCGGTGGGTGCCTAAAGATAATGAATCTGCGAAGCACCGGAAGTGAGTCAAGATCGAGAATGCAGGCGTTGGGAGGGGGCCACCAAGCTGGACAAATCGACAGAAAGCCGAGAAATGTGATGGCCGGTGTTCCTGGATCTGATTCCTCACTCTCCTCTACATTTCTCTTATTCCCGCCAGCGCGTCCAGTAGGTGTGCGTGCTGTGGCTCTCTCCTTCTGCCACGTGGACAGACCACTAGTGCCAGGAAAAGCTGTGGGGCAGTACGCGTACTTTAGATTGGGTCAAATATTGAGAGAGTAGCCCAGGCACAGAATTTAACCTAGTTCATCCAACGGATATATGTGTATAATTTGTCAGAATGGGATCACCCGGCCCTCCCCATTGGACAAGAGTTCACTACCCTTTTTATGGGGCGAAGTTTCCATGGGGTTGCAGTTGAATTGCAGTTATCTCATTTGTAGTTTGCACATAAAGACCAGGAGGTTTACTGAGATGTGTCCAAAAGAAATAGCAGAATTCTAAGTGAGATGTTTATAATGCCCACAATCTCTAAATTGTCAGAATGAATTTTTTAGACAATCGTCTACAATTGATTAAGTTTAGTTTCAATCAAAATAACTTGTTGCACTTTCTATAGCACATGTATGATTTCTATATAGTGGAGATTCTCTTGTTCAACCAACATATTGGAGACAATATGTTTCAAGTTTTAGTTGAGTTCCTCAACAAATTGTACAATCATTTGTGCAGCATTTTAGTTGGTTTGTCAATTGATGGTGCTTGTTCAATGACCAAACAAATTTGTGGGCTAATGATGCCTCTATGACAATGTACTTTGGTAAGATTGATTTGTATCTAATGTAATCTCTATTAATTTAATCTTGTGATGCAACATGTCTTTAAGGCTTCTTTTGATGAATCATTTTACTTTGTATTAATAAGAGCAATTAGATACTACTAGCAACATTAAAATTTGATCTTGAGCATTTGCACAATACCTCCTAAAATTACTAATATTTACTAGGTTTCAATGGATTTTGCTAAAATTCAGGTGACCAACAACACTGTTGCAATTCATGAATATTTTAAGTGAAAAAAACCTTGTTTTTTTCTAAAGAATATGCAGTGGATCTTTTTATTTGTGGTATATGCCTTAATACAAGAAACTAAGATTGTGTTTGTGTCACTCTAAAAATTGACAAGTATATTATTTCAACAACAAGTTAGACTAACTAGTTTTGTTAGCACATCATACAAAATGACCAACATGATTAATCTACTACTATATGAACAACTTGCCACAATTGATACATTAAATATTAAAGTTTGTGTTTATTTTGTTTTAATCCATACTAATCAACATACAAAAATTCAATAGTATTATATCTTGATAAATGGCTCAATTTACAAAGGGATTGTCTTTGACCAATATTTGTCACAAACATACATACTTATTCTAATATTTACATATATGATTAAATAAAAGTAGATAAAACTAGTTTTATTTCAAAATATTTTTAGAGAAGCTTTTTAAAGCTTCATAGATGTTGCTTTGACTTTACATGTATTTGTAATTGATTGGTAGATTAAAAACTTAGTCAATAAGTTAACTACATGTTAGTAGCTTGCAAAAAAACTAAATATGTAGCATATATATAGAAAACTTGCCTTGCAAGTTAAGATGTGTATCTTGTAAAGTCAACTCGTTTTGGAGATCCTCTAAGACATTGCCACATAACTCCTAGTTAAGAGTATGTATGGAGGCAAGAATGAAGCCTTCTTCACTCTTGCCAATGCCTTTTTAGTCTTTAGTCTTGTTTCAAGACTTTCTAGTCTTCTTGTTTTTGGCAGTAGCTGTTTTAGTTTAATACTATATGATCTTTGAGTGATTTTTTAGTCTTTTTGAATAACATAAAAGTGTATTGAGTTTTTTTTTTTTTTTTTTTTTTTTTGAGATTTATGCCCTTGATAATACTTATTTAATTCAAAAAGACTTTGCCAAAGTTCTACATATTTACCACAATAAGACAATCTTTAAGACAATAATTGATACTTATAAAAACTTAAAGATGGATTTTATTGCTAGTTGACAATTCACAAATAGATACATCTTTGTACTTTGATAATTTTGTGGAAATTTAGCACTTGCTTTTTTAGAAACTACTTTTATAGAACCAATTTTTTTGTGATTGATTGAAATGATAATAATTATCACAATTATCTTCTAGACTTTTCTTCAAAAAAGAATCTTTATTGCAAATAATTTACAAAGCTAAAGGCATTTAATCTAATATTTTTTTATTTTTTTTATTTTGTTTTACTTCTTTGTTTCTTTTTACTTCTCAATTAAAAAGCATTAATCAAGTGCATGTTTGTATTTATTTTTCTAATAATCATTATATTTCTATAAAAAAATTATATGTATATATATATATATATAATTCATAATATCTATAATTATATAAGATTTAAATATTTAATATCCTATTTTATTCTTATTATATAATTATTTATATATATATATATATATATACACACACACATCCATACCTATTCATGTAACTTACATCAATATAATTAACAGCTTGTAATAAAAACCAATAAATATTATATCATTTTATATTTTTAAAAAATTATAAAAAGAATTAATGTTTTAAAAAATTGATTCAAAATTGATGTAAAAAAACTTATTATCTATATTTAATTGAGCTTATAGAGAAAAAAAGAGTATATATATATATATATATATATATACATAAGTGTATATAGAAATATATAATCACAACTATAAATTAATAGAATACAAGGCTTGCTACTAGTATATAAAGTTTAAAATTTAAAATAAATACATATTTATTAAATAGGTGCTTATTAAAAACGATTTTCTCAAATACACCAAATATGAGTTCACAAGCAACAAAGATATAAATTTTTGTGTAATTATTATTTGATTTGTGTTGAATTTTCATAAACTGGGTAAGGTAGAGATTTTGTTTATCACATGAGATGAGGAATGAATGAACAGAAACAAGGAAGAAGGGGATGACCAACATTCATTCATTCATTCATCCAGATGTCTGGAATAGGCAACTCAACAATCACTTTACAGTATACACATTCTGTTACAAGTGCATCATCGCCAATGGGTGCTAACTTGTCCACAGTGGTGCACATACTTTACAATGCTAGTGCTACTGAGTTGGGTGTAGATGTTGAAATGGGTCTCATAGACCCGGCACTATACTTGGTCCATACGAGCTCCTCAACCTTCAAAATACCCCTCGAAACGGTGAGGTCGCTTCCACGTCGTCCCATTCAAAGTCGGCGCTCTCCTTCACCAGGTCTTCTAAGCTTGCGATGAAGTGGACTGGCACTTCCAATTCCGGGGGACTCTGGCATCCATTCACATGCATAATCAATCAATCGTCAGCACCGTTGGGGAAGTGATTGGATGTTGTGCAGTGACAGAAGCACAGTTGCAGATACAGTTGGGAAAAAATCTCAGGACGAGGGAGTCTGCTGCACAAGTACCATGCATCGGATGAGAGGCCACTTAATGCCCCGGAAGAATGGATGCGACTTAATATCGTGCGCTCCGTGTGTGGAGCCAAGCCTCTTTATGGGTTCTTTTGCTAACAGTCCCTGGATCAATTGCCTGGCCTCCGAGCTCACCTGCAGTCATGGCTCAGTTCGTTGTCATTAATTTCATGTTGAACAGATGCACGCTCACTTTTGAACTTTCACCAGATAAAGTGGGTTAAAAATGCAGTCTTCAGGGTCTTACGGGAATGTTTGATGGAAATGAGAGGTCTTTGGCCAGCACATTTGCAAACGTCTTCTGTCGGTTACCTCCTTTGAAAGGAGTACGTCCGAATAGCATTTCGTACAATAATATTCCTGGAACATCCTTTGTATCATTAAAACTTTCTTCACAGAATACCGAATAAGATCCCAGTTCATGCATTTTGGCTTTTGGAAAACAGGTTGAAGCAGTGTGATGTGTTGTGAAAATCATACCCAGAGACCACCAGTCGACAGCACTACTATGTCCATGTCCCGTGATGATTTCCTGCGGGAAAAGTGTCCGCTTGGATCAGTCTTTCATGACGAAGTTCAAGTAAACGAGCTAAGCTGTGGTGTACAAGAAAGCAGCGCGTCGCACGTTACGATAGAACTTACAGGAGAGATATACTCTTCAGTTCCCACGAAGGAGTTGGAAGAGGCAAGTGGCTCTGCGAAAAATACCGGATGCTTCGATGCCTTGGACCTCCGTCTCAACTTTGGAGTCACGTTAATCTTCGTCATCTTCCTCTTCGTCTTTGGCTCTGTGGTTTCCATCAACTGAGTTTCACCACAGGATGCACTTTAGTCGTCAAGAGGACAACAATAGATAAATAAGCAAGGAGCCATACATGAATTTTAAGACCTTCCTCACCTGTAAGTTGGCGGAAGAGTTGATAGACAAGTCGAAATCAGTAAGCTGAATGTGGCCGTTGTCTTGAATCAAGATGTTCTCTGGTTTCAAATCTCTGTACACCACACCTGAAAAATAATTACAGCTCATCATTCTCAATGCCCTCCAAATCAAGGTATGATTACTCGAATATAAAATGGCCGCAATCAATCCGCTGTATTTCGCATGTTTCAGCATGCAAGGATCTCAGAAAGCGAGGATGACTTGGATAGTACTGAACTGATCAACTTCACAGCTTCCATAGAAACCGTCTCTGTGACGCACTTGGGTTGAAAATCATACCTAGGCAATGCAAATACTCCAGTGCGATGATGATCTCAGCAGCGTAAAATCTGTTAATTACATTAAAATGAGACAGATCTTATCAATATATCTTCCAATCTCATCAACAAAAATTTCTAAGTCGACATTAGCGGAAATAAAATTACAGATGCCAGCATCGGGCCGAATATTACCGAGCTGATTCTTCTCGAAAGTGCTTCTTTGGTTGTTGTTCCAGGGCTAAGTAAAGCTCGCTGCCCGGACAGAAGTTCATGATCAAGCACACGTGGGTCACAGTCTGCAGATTATAAAGGACATTGATACGTCAGCAATCATTGAACTCTCTCGCCTTCAATATTTGAGCTATGGTATATCCTCCAACATTGAAGACAAGTGAGCTTGATGCACGAAGGAAAGGGATGCAAAATAACAAACCTGAAATGAACCGTAGAGAGTAGGCAGAAAAGGATGGTCTAGGAGCTCCAAAATCTGCCTCTCCGCACAAGCTCTGTGCACCTTGTTCCGATTCATTAATACCCCTTTATCCATGGCCTTCATTGCAAACACTTGACCCGTTCCACGCAGCTCCACTAGATGAACACTGCCAATCAGCATGACTCCACCCTTTCAGCCTTGAGAAGAGAAACATCCTAGAAGAACGGCCTCTAGTGAAGATGAGGTACTAGATAGATGATCGCTTTTGCAAGTCCATAACATAAATGTATGAACATTATTCTCACCTTCCAGTGTCACCATATCCGAGAGGTTTAAGAGGTTTAAAGTTCTTCAACATCAGCCTTCCACTGGTGCTCCTGGCCTTCATGTGCGACACACCACCCAAATAGTCAGTAATTATCTTACACTGGAACTCCGAGCATCTTTATCAATAATACTGAGGTGGTAGCGAAAGCTAAGATAGAATTTGGGACAGATAGTCACCGTCAGGATTTCTCTCCATGCTGGCGACTGCTGCATATGTGGCTTGGGAAAGACAGGCCTGGAATGAAGATCCCAAAGGCTTTCAGGACCCTACAAACATCACTTTCAATGTGAATTACATTTGTAGGTGATTCATCAACAGAACTACTTTGGAGGAAGCATCGTATTGCAGGCAAGACAATAAGACATCCCTCCATCAGTTCAGAGAGATTAATTGTCCACTCACCAAATTTGCATCTGGAAGCTCGCGAACTGCATCATCAATTTCCATAGCAGTTTTTTGCACCTGATGTATGCCAAATCACGATTCGAACAATGTCAAATTATATTAACAGTTTCTACAAATTTTGACAGTGGTATCATCTTGAAAATAATGCGAATGAGAAGCAATCTTACTAGCTTCGCTCTTTCTCTCTCCGTATCGTCAGAAAGGCGCTGGAGAGGAGCCTCCGAATAATCCCTTCCATTCAGCTGTAATCCGATGAAGTACTGTAACTCACCCTGCCATAATTGGTACCATTTCTGGAATAAGAATCAATATTCTCACCCTAGTCCGCAATTCACCCTCGCAAGTTTGAAAGCAAAATATTTTTAATTTTTTTGCACAATAGTTAGACTTCAGGTAATACCGACAGCTCACTACACCAACAGTCAGAATAAGAAAAAGTATCCACCTGGTGATCGCGCACAGTCTGCAGGTGGAAGAGGTTCCAAAAAGGTTTGCCTATCCTTGCAATGCAACACCAGCATAATCATTTCCTACCAATTTCTTGCAAGAAAAGAGTGGTTCCATAGACTCTGCTTAACAGAAAAGCTTAATTAAGAACAGCGTAGACACGTCGACACTTGGTACTATCGTAGGGCCAAATTTTACAGAAGATTTGTGACCAGAACAAAGAGAAATATTTCATCCTTGCAGGTGTTTACGACTGAGATGAGAATAAAGTACCGCTTTTGGTATAGTTCAGCAACTGCACAGTTATATCTTTGCCATCAGCTACAGAATCTCGGATCTGTTTCACGGTTTCAGGGTTGGTCTCTGGTCCCTGTAAGAATCTGCAATTGCGACCAAGCACTTCCTCTCGGGAGTATTCGGTCAAATCCAGAAACTCGTCGGAGGCGAAAATCTGTTTTCCAATATGCAACAAACCGCCTATGTTCAACAATAAATGGTACTCATTGAGGGAAATTGCAAGAAAGGTATGAATGTTTATGTGGAAACCATCAGACAATTCACTTACAATGGGGTTGTCCGGCAACCGAGGATCTGTGATGACGAAATTTTTGTTGATACGCTCCAGCGATGTGGCCAGGTCGATGGCATTGCGAATCAACGAGGCTCGATTTTCATCATCTTCCGCACTCGACGTAGTCACCAGATCCTTCAGGTTGATGTGATCCTCTGGAACTCCATGAGACTTTGTGCCGATCCTGCACAAACTCAATATTTTACAAAGAATCCAAGGCCAATCTCTCTAAGCCGTGGCCAGAGAGGAAATTACTTCAGACATGAGCATGCGCATAAAAAGAGGTGAAATGCCGTACCCCAAAAAGGACATGAGGAAGCCAGACAATCGTCGAGGTCGTCCATTGGGAATATCCGAGCTGCCATCAGCAGCATATAATTTCTTTACTGGATGAGGCTCTTTGGAGTGCAAATAAGCATGCAGCTGCTTCCTGTCCGAATGCATCCCAGAAACATCAGCTTCGTCATCCTCCGTCAGGTACTCTGGAGACCTCGGCACAGAGTGTGATGATTTTCTAAATGCACCTACAATCTCTGTCACCGAATCGGTTGCTTGATCAATCTGACGAGCTGTTCACACACCCACACCACGGTCAGTAAATAAATTCAGTTGTAATTTCAACCAAGAAAACGATACACAGTGTAACGGAGATCATTGCCACTGAAGCATGCATGGCTCTCAATATCAAATGGAAGGACAAGAGGGGACGTCACTAACAATCGTATCGAATCAACGAGGCAGAGAGCCCGTTGGGACGAAGAGCCTTCTCACGAGATCCCTCTGTGAATTTACTGACTTCCACCTGCATACTATGAACCAACACCCTTCAACTATCAGATAAAATTGTTCCGAGCATATCGATATCAATGTCTACGTGAACAATACAATTGAGTCCCTAACACAGCTCAAATTTGAATGATTCAAATTTGTTCAGCTATCCATACCTACCCAATGTACATGATGACCCGGCCATGATCACCCCGGATTGGCGTGAGGTTGAGCAAGTTCCAGAAGGTGCTCCCATCCTTCTTGTAGTTTAACAACCGTCCACAGAAATTTCGTCCTTGTTTCAATGCATCGCGGATTTTTGCGACGGATGTTCGATCAGTTTGAGGACCTTGCAGGAATCGACTGCGTACACAACGAAACACATTTATGATGAACACGAACATCTTATTTAAAGATTGCAATGGGCAGATTCAGAAGTCAGTCGGAGAACAATCGTCAATTGAGGAACAATGCAAAATCTTTGTTACCAGTTCTGGCCTATGATTTCGTTTTCGCTGTAACCGGTCATGCTGAGGAAACAGGCACTTGCGAACATGATGGGGTAATCTGGTTGCGTAGCATCCGACACCACGAAAGTCTGTTGGAACGAGGACAATGCACGTTGTAGATCTGCCGAGATTCGCACTCTACCATCCACGCTTCCTTCTAATGATTTACCATTAACTTTTCGCGAAGATGCTCGGTATCCAGAGTAGACATACTCAGCTTTGCCCTCCTCCAAAGAGTAGCGACGATGTGAAGTAGAGGGATTACTTAGCTCCTTTGAACTACCACCCGCTATTGTTCTGTTCGTGGATTTGTTCAGGGTCTGAGCTTGCTCGTGAGATGATCTCATAACAGATTCCCATTCGACACCTCGATGATCTGCCAACATTCCTTCGGATAAATTCCTCATTCGAGTTGATTTGGCAGACTTGAGCACGTCAACATCATCCATACCCCTGTTGGAGTTGCAACGGAAACTCCTGACGGAGCTAATCCGTGCCGAGCTCATCCGCGACGATGATGATCTCGGCGCGTCGAAAATCAGTGCTCTATCGGACAAGGACCTCTCGACTTGCGCCAAATTTACACTACTCTGTGGCAATGCAGGTGAGGTCACCCGAGTGGTTCTAAGTGGTGTTGGAAAAGGCGAAACGTTCTTCATGTCCATAGCTGGGTCCGTGCTCTTCATCGAAGCTTCCATCATACTCTCAAACAAGGAATAACTATCGGAGATAGCTGGTGGTTCCTCGTTCTGTTCATTGGGAGGAGTAGGCTCGTCAAAGATGCCTGCTTGAAGAAGACGTGGGGCTCCACCAAAGACTTCCAGGGATGCTCGACTTGTCCGACTTGATTCTGACCTTGCATTCGCCTTTTCCACCATATATGATGTCTCGAATAGTGCTCCAATTCCAATTGCCGAGCGAGGTCGTCTTGATGCCGGTGCCGGCTCGAACATCGGCGCCATTTCAGATAAATCTTCTGCAACCTATTCCAATGCCGCTCACTCTTCTATTCACAGAATCTTGTGCCGAGCATCATCCTCACGAGCTCAGATATAATTCTTGCTTCACCGTGCCAAAACTACTTCGAGGCATGCTCACTTGACTTGTGAAAATTGAATGCACACGAGCGTCCCTGACCTTGTGCGAGCCACTGGGAGAAAGATTATGAAAGGCTATTGAGTTGCGTTTGGCGTTCTTGATACAAAACTAGGAAATACCTTCCGTGGAGGGTATTGGAACAGAAATTTTCCTTTCCTAGAAGGCAACGTTTCTGAATCTTTACGAGTCCCTCTCTTCCGATAGCTCAAATTCCGGTGCAGTAGATGTACCTGGAAGAATTAAAAATGAATAACTGACCTAACCAGATTCTCTAGCCCACATAATTTGTGCCAATAGACACGACGCACACTCTCCCAGGCTGTTAAATCAGAGTTGCGGTTAAACAAAACAGTACATGGTCTATTAATGAAACCAAAAATTCAAGTTAGGGGATACTCACCTCAAAGGAAATTCCCTAAATCGCCTTCCGTGGATCCATCCAGCAGCCCCTACTAACTTTCTCTCCGTGCTGCAGGACCACTTCTCTTCGGGACATTTAATCTGAAATTGATGTAGCGTCTTACTCGAAAACCATCCGCCACTCCTTTAAACAAGCCACCGCAGGATCACTACTCTTTACATCCAGACACTCGTATCTTCTCAGTGTCAACGTCCGAGACTCATGCAATATTTTCAGTATAGAATGTCTTTAAGAGAGGAAAAAAGCCAATCCAATGAGCCTATGAGGCCATCGCACCACCATTTAAGCAACAAGCTGTCTTAGGACTAACTTAGTTCCAATTGCTTCGGACAAGGAGTTGGAGTCCTTTATCTCCGTGAAAGCTGTAGGCTTCGAGTACGAACAAAAATTTGTGAGTCCACAAAATGTCCTGGACAGACCTCAAATCATAAGACGCCGTGCTTCCACATGTGCAGGTGGGACTGGGTGACGTTAGTGGCGCCCAGAACCTGCGCAGGTTCACAGTTGATATGAGGACTTGGAATTTTCATCACTTCCATCACTCGTTTGGAATTTTTTGTGGTCCACAGCGCCTCCCCGACATAAAAGAGAAGAGCATCCAAAACAGGAAGTTATGCTGCTGTCAGGAGACGACGATGGAATGGCACCCAATCCCGCATTATCCGTTTGTTTTTTCGTCAGAAAAAAACACGTCAAGGCTCAAGTTTTGGGGGTACTTTCCGTCTCATGATTAGGCCGACACGACAATTTAACAATTAATATGTTTACAAAAGTATCGAGGATTGTAAGCCTGATACGGTACCAGAACGTCAATGTACCAAGTGGATCAGATACATGCACTGCGGTACAATGTTGAGAACCTGAAGCCAGTGGTCCGGAGCTGGAATGCGACGGTAATGTAAACAAATAACAATAATAATAATAATTGAGGAAAGGGTTGTAATAGACTAGAATATCTATAGCAATGCTTGGAAGCGACGTGTTGTCGCCTTCGAATTGGGGTGAAGCACACAAGTCATGCAGTCCTTCTGTGCAGTGACCGCATGCAGAGAAGTCACGGACTTATTTTTCGCTCTTGAACTGAACCAGTGGTTTGCTTGATAGCAGCTCAAAAGAGCTTCTTCACCCGGCAATAAGATTTTATTGTACATCATCTTTGTTAATAAAGTTGCTATTCAACCATCCACCTTAAATAGTAGTTATAGCCTTAGAAATTTAGTCATTTATCATAGACAATAATGTTATGGTTTGTAAACTATTTTAAATTCTACACAAAACATTTAATCTACAATATCTAAAACCAATTTTTTTATAAACATGGCCATTGAAACCATCATAAATTTGACAACTAATCTAAAAGATGTAGAATAGTTCTCTGAGGTCTTTATACTTAAAGGGAATATTAGAAGCAACAACTTCCAAAGGTTTTAACTAATTAAATTCAATGGTTTCACATTTTAAGGTTGCCAAAGAAGAGTTTTTTTTACCAAGTAGAGAACATTTGAAAAACTTTTGTATCATGGCCTTTTAGGAGTAAAGCCTCCTAAGCTTTAAGGAGAAAATACTTTAAAATTAACAAAATAATCATCATTAATTATAAAATTATTTAAATTCTAAATTTTGACAATATTGATTAAATTAAAAATAAAAGTATGTATTAAAAAAAATTATAATGAAAGAAGGGACGAGCATAAATGCATATAGACTTATTTTGTTATTTTGTTTACACTGAAATCTTTTAAAATTTAAAATTTAAAATAAAGATTATTAATTATACACATTAATATTAAAAATAAAAATAAAATTATACATTTCTTTACTTTTAAATTTGAGCGAAATAGATCTTTTTTTATTCTTCAAAATCCTTGTGTTCATCTTCAAATCTTCATTTACACCCTTGGTGATCTTAAACGCCTCATCACACTTCTTATTTGTTTACTTGCTTTCTAACAAAATAAGTCTGTATGCATTTCTGCTCTTCCCTTCTTTGCAATTATATTTCGATTGTGTCAGTATGGCCAGCCAAAACATTTATACATATCTGAAGCTTGAAAGCAACATATGTCACTGAAAAGCCTGACCTTGATTTATTACATTTGAAAAGAGAGGCAAATGACCGATTAGGCAAGAATCGTAAAAAAGTCGCAATATGTGTGTTATTTTTAGTGGAGTGCATGAAGGTTCATCTAAATTAATCAATAATGCGCAGTCATTTTGGAATTAATCTATAATTCACTTTCCAGGAGATTCATCTGGCTGATCCAGGTCTTTGATTTTTTGGGTGGCAATCCAACGTTTGCAAGTAAACTGGAGTTTGCATTTCCAAAAGTCTGGATACCTGCACAAACATATGAAGAGGTAAATATTCTGGAATTGAATAAATGAATAGTGTCCCTAATCTTCCTGGCATCAGATCCTTTCGCTCGTCTTTTTTCGTAATTCCTCTCGAAACCAATGTATGACATTTATATCTGAAAACAAACAAAGTAATTACCGCGCGACGGAAAGCAAAGGCTTCTTCTCGTCCCGAAAATATGGATTGGATACTGGTTCTTGTGCTACTAGTTGCTCCTACTGGCGCCACGCTGCCCTCTGCTGTTACATCACGACGCAATCGCCCCCCTTCAGCCTCCGTCTCAAACTGTAAACTGCAAAACAGCGGAAGGATCGAATAAATCACATCAGAATGTCCCCTGCACCCGTTCAACTTAAGGTTCGTCCTCACGCAACTCTGGCATTTGTGATCGAGGCCTAAATTACTCACTTTTCTAGATCGAAAATTGATCCATCCATAGTGCCTAAGAAGAGATCATCCGGTGGCGCTTCCGCACTGCAGATGAGCCGACAGTGGTGATTGTAGAGCTCATCCACCAGTGTTATGAACCTTCTGGCCTGGTTGACATAACCCACGTGGATTTACGATTTATCTTGATGCAAGCAATAGCTGCAGAATTTGCACACAACAAATCAAAGAGTTTGATCATAAATTGGAGCATGCAATCACCTTTAAAGAAGTTCCCACCCCCAAATGGACTCCTTCAGATGAATACTTGACGATACCCATAGATTCAAGCAGTTAAAAAGCTTCTAAAAGTGTGCGAGGAAAAGGGTGGAAATAATCACGCCGTACTTTGTCAATTGTGCGCATGCTCAAAACTGGTATATCTGTAATGAATACGGTATGGTAGTGCTGGGCGAGTGCTATATAGTCCGCCGCTCCAACCTGCATAGCCCTTCAAATTTTTGATGTTTTTTTTCCATGAAAAACACGATTATGGTCGCAGAGCACTCACACATGAACTCGTTGATGCACAGAATTATTACATGGACGATCCTCAAGTTTCTCTTACCTCTGGGAATTAGAGTCACAAATTATTCTATGAAATAAGAGAAGGGACATACCGGACGACTACACGCTTGTTCAAATGTGAATCGTGCCACACCATCGAAGCTCTCTGGGACTTCTAGGCTCCTGCATACAACACAAGCAGGGAGGTCGTAATAATGCCTGGAAAAATTCGAAAATGTGACTAAAAAGTGACATTACAAAGACCAGGACATTTTTCGAGCGAAATAAACATCACACATAGAGCAGATTCATAAATCAACTGGACGAATAGGGTCAAAAGAGCACCTCTTCCTCCGAGAAAGACTACCTGAAGCTCATAATGTGGAGGTTCTCATTTTTTTTCATTGGTCAGAATAAGTGCCCCAGGAAACCTCACCTTCCAAACATAACAGGTATGAAGTTAGGTGCAATTGATGAGCCGGCCTGATTAAGTGTTGGTGTTGTGACTTCATCCCAAAGCCGTTCAAGTTGTAGTTGGGATTGACCACCCAAAGGCCAGAAGTAGTGTGTTAGCTCTCCCTGTCACCAAGTACAAGAGTAAAAGTATTACGACATCATCAACCAGAAGTATTGTGTAACTTGGAATAACAGCCCAATACTGTGACAAATGTGAACATATTATTTTCTGTATCAGAAATATTGTAGTTAAGGTGCATAAAGAAGAGAGGAAAAATAAAATAATGTCAAATAAATTGATTTAGTTCTAGGGAGACACTTCTTGCGACTAGAACACACAACATGCGGGCGAATGGTTTATACAGAAAAAAGGCGATCGCGTGTATCATATAATTAATCCGTTTACAATAATAAATGCACTGGTTCCGACAAACTCTCACTCACCTTGAGTGGTGTGGCCATGACACGTCGATAATCTGTTTCAGTTCCAACAAGCATAGACCTACAATGGAGCTCGATTTCGTTAACAAATGCCGCAAACAACTCCTTTTGCAGACCGTCCTACAAAAAAACGAAACTTCAAACTGATCAGAATTTTGAGCATGCTACGTCATTTATGCCTATAAGAATTGCCACATTGCTGACCCTTTTCATAAAGCATCCGTCAATACATCCAACGCATGGTTTCTGATCTAATAGACCTCGCTCACGTCCTCAAATGTACGATCAGAGAGCTGAAAGCTCATTAACTCTTAACCAGCAGAAGTCTTCACTCTCTTAAGAATGTTCATGTTCACAAATAATAATCAAAGATAGACAGTCACCTTGTTAAGGTCCCACGGTGCTCGATTGCTGGTTGCTACGATCACAGCTCCTCGAGTTATTAGTCTTACCAAGATTCCAGACAGCGCGACTGCTGTAAAGACATCCAAAACCTACACAACACCGTACATACATTAAATTTCCCAAATGAACGGATGACTGCACCCTCAAGTAAGCTATACAACAACTGATGATCAGAAACACTAATTTAATATAAACACTTTGAGTGAAATATTCTGCAGTTGAACCGTCTAGGTGCTTAGAGTTTGGAAAGAAGGAATCCAGTCAGATGAGAGCCTTCGACATTCTAGTAGGATTGACTGTACATCTTTCCTTCAGGAATGTAAATTTGAAAGTAATCTGATACTGCGTCCGGAATTTACGAGATTATCTAAAGATTCTTTGGTCTGAAAACCTCAGAGACATCAGGTCAAGCTAGGACACCTGAACTTCGTCGAAGCAGAGGATGCTGGCCCCTCCTTCACTATCATCTCTAGACCCAATTAACTCATCTGCAACTGCGTTCAATATTGAGCTTTCTGATTGATGCTCAGCTTCAAACCGTTCAGCAGCTTCCAGCCAATCTTTGGTAGCATCCTCTAGAGATGGTGTAGGGATTGGTTCAAATACTCTATTAATCTGATTCAATTTAGACCGCGGTTTAAGCTTCCCTTGATTCCTGAGCATGTGCATCCGGTAGTGAATTTCCAGCATCGCCTGAGGCAACCCGGAACATATTCGTCAAAAATGTGTGATGGGCTGCGTTCACCCTGATCGAGCGTAAGGTACATTCAGACTGTATATTACCCTGTAGTGGACTGCTCTTTCCAGGGTTGTTGCCCATGTTCAACAGCATCAGCAAGGACTCCCATGATTGAATGAAAGAAGCAGAAAGTATGAAACAAATCAAGCTGGGTGACAATCTCTCTACCATGAGACTACAATGAGCAACATGAACACATTGAGGTTCAGTAGAAGAACAGGGAACATAAAAAAAATGTAAGGAACATATAATAAAATGGGGAGAAAAATTGCTGGTTTTACTTACTGCATGAAAGTGCACTCTTCGTCTGTGGCGAATGACCCCCTCTGCTGATTTGAAAAACAATTCCATGAGAAGCGTCTTACCTGAGAACGACAGCGATACGCGAATTAGAAATCACCAACACTTCATGGCCAGGAACTAGAAAGTTAACTGCCTACTCTTGGGTAATGAGAACCGGACGCAGTCACGAGGAGGTCACATCATCTAGAATGAAAGAACACTCACCGCAACCAACGTTACCATACAAATAGATTCCCTGTGGCGCTTTAGGCGCTGAAGGCCGCCGTCCCACTATGGAATCTAGTTTCTTCTCCCGTTCGATGCGGGCGACCATGAACCCAGAACTTGGTTCCACGGAAATATTTTTTGTCCTTCTGAAAATCAGCTCACAACCATCCCACATTAACCAAATTCAAATACTATAAGCGGACTGACTAGGCAGGGAAACAATTCACCTTCAACTTCCGAAACAAAAGATACTGCTTGCTGTATTTAGAGAAAGTGAGAAGAACAGACATGCAAAGCCAAAGGTGCATATTCATCTGGTGAAAAGGAAGCTAGCTAGAAAAAATACTCCATTTGCAACACGAACAAAACACGCCCAAACAATGTCTCGAGGATACAAGCCACCTACAAGCAAGGGATGCAATGTTATTATAATTAAGAAGAACATTGGAGGTACCTGGAGAACCATCGAGAGAGCCGGTTTTTTCCCTGGGTTTCTAAGTTTGCAATACGTCTTCGCGCTTCAAACGTAGCTTCCTCTTGCATCAGCTTCGCTCTCATTTCCTTTCTTTTTATATCCCACTGCATTAGCTCTTCCTGAAAACATGGTATAATACAAGAGGGATGGCGTCATGCAAAACATGGCCACATTCATTTGGGATGTCACTCATCAATCCTTGATGTTCGACATCCTCTGAATTGGAAACACATTATTATTTTCTAATACGATTCATGATTCATTTATGTGTTATTCTTTTAACAGACACCACTTGGTATTGAGATTCCTAATAATTACACCTGTCAAAAAACCAAATGATGTTCCGCATAGATCACACGCAAAACTAGGATTTTATACAAGTTTAGTGGCTTCGGTATTCATAACATGAAATAGTGTCTCTTCTTGCATGAAAGGTGAGCACCATGAACAGGAAGACATGGTGCACTGGAGTTTCCGCAATCACGAACCACGAAACCTGAGCAATGTAAAAGCAGTAATAAAAACAAAAGTACAAATAATTGTTCACGGCCAAAGTTCAAACAGTACTTGATAAACTTTCATCTGGCGATTGTACTGTTTCATATTCCCTAGGAGTTGACTCAAAGCCTCCGCTACGCTCTCCTGTCTCGCATCATATAGTAATGCTCCTAGAGCAACCATGCCTTGGTACAGCTCCAACGGGCCCTCCTTTGCTACAGTTTATTTTGCTGCTAACGTTAGTGATAAACAAAAATTATGCAATAGAAATCTTCGAATTGCTATGACATCCCTCAAGTTTTTCTAAACTCAAGTTTTTCCATACATTGAATTCTATACCCTAACCACGATAAGTTTGAATCGTTAGACACATGCAAGTGCAGCAAATGCTGAAAATCAGAAACATTCACCCCAACACTCAGAAGTCCCCTGTTCTGTGTGACAAGATCGAACATGTCAACAAAGAACTACAACATAAGGGATTGAAATTTAAATTGTGCATTTAACTTATGCTATAGCGAAGTCCAATAATGTCTATGTAAACGCCAAAACCCACAAAAATGAACAATAACAGCGAGGTGTTACCAGGCAGTGATGGCGAGACAATCCCTCGCAACTGGTGCAGCAATGGGAGAGTTTTCAAGTGCAATTTACAAGGGAATTGTGACACTAACTCCATTTGAAGTTCACTGGTGCCAGATGCACGTTGAAGAAGGGACGTCGAGAGACGCCACCATTGCGTCCGCATGGTTGCCAGCCACAGGAGAAGCAATAGTGACTTGGCTGCAGGAATCTACTCCACTGTGGACTGAAATCAACACATGAGGCTTGCCGAAACCTGGCACAGCAACTTCATCCAGCCAGATCTGGCCACCGCCTTTGCAACCTGCGCGGGACCGCAACGCAGCTTGGCAGGAAAATGAGTAATAAAGCCCACACACCTTGAGAATCAATCAATCAACTCCCCCGGCCTAAGTATTATGCACCTGAATTTGGCAAATTCGTTTGTTGCCTCCCTCGAACTCGCTCACAACAACTCGGCACTCAATGCGTAGCCCTTCACAGCGATTGTCCTGATCGATATCCGTATCCACTGTGGTTATCAATCGCTCAATTGAGCCGCGGTTGTCAATCCATCTGCAAAGGATTAACCCAGCCAAAGCACTCCTCCTGCAGATGGACCCATATCTCCTAAAGCTTAAACCCTAAACTCCTAGTTTGAACAATGAAGACCTCCATGACGTCCCGGTCATTACAAGCAATCTCCCCTTATATACCCCCTCATAATAGCCTTGCTTATTGTCCTATTTCTTTTTTGCACTTGTGGAAGTTTTAGATCTTACTTAGTATTGGCAAGTAATATCTTTGGTGGATGAGAGTTATGGTGTTGCCTTTTCACATGCAAGGATCATCTAATCAACCTCTTTCTTCTTCCTTTTTCTAAAAAAAATAAAAAAAATAAAAAATCTCCTTTTCTATTTAAAATTTTTATTTTTTTTATAATTCTTAGCCATCTTCTATTTGTACTTCATTTTACTCTCATATTTTTGTTAACAAACTTTTCTTCATAATTAAGTCTATGCTTTCTTATTAATATTAGTTCTTACTTTTGTTGGCATAAAAATATAGTGTTCATTCTAACACATTTATTTATTGCATAAAAAATATATAATATTTTAATTTAATATAATTGTATTAGAATAAATGTATAATGATATTGATATGTCTTATTCATTTGTCAAATGATGAATAAAATCCCAATTAATGGAATCTCAATGGATAAATATTAATAGTTGAATCTTAATGGATATTTATACTTACATCTTTTTTTAGATTCAATCTAACATGAGTATTTTGTTCCTACTTCAATATATATTCTTCATCTCATTTTATATCTTTAGAAGTTAGAATGAATTTATATATAGAAATCTTAAGCAATGGAATAAATAGAAATTAATTAAAATTTGCATAGATTTATAAAGTGAGTAATAAAGTGATTGAATTGGAGCTAGAGATTATGCATGTTCATTACTTTGCTTACTTTAAGCAATTTTAATCCAACTACAAATAAAAATAAAAAACCTTGCAAAATAATGCATACAAGATCTTGAATATGGCCTTATACACATTTTATTGTAGCCATGAACTTGTTAGGGACAAAAACTTGATAAAAGAAAATAAACAAATATAACAAATTAAAAATAAAGAAGTATGTATATTAAAAAGAAATTGGAATGGCTATTGCCAAAAGACAACAAAACTAGAGACTCTTGAATCTAGATTAGAAGCAAGAAATGAATTGAGAAGAGTAAAGAGGGCTTCATTCTTGCCTCTATATATATTATCTACCTAGGAGCTAGGTGGCAATATTCTATAAGATCTGTAATATGTGTTGACTTTGCAAGACACATGCCTTAGCTTACAAGATAAGTTTTCTATGTATGGAGCACATAGTTAGCTTATTCTTCACGGTATCAACATATGTGGCACATGGCTAACTTGTTGACCATATCTTTAATCTAAAAAGTCAATTATAGACACATGTAAAGACAAAGTAGTATCTATGAAGCTATTAGGAAGCTTTTATAGAAGATATTATGGAATTAACATACTTTTATTTACTTTTATTTAATCATATAGGTAATTATTAGTTTACATGTATGTGTCTATGATATTACCTTCACTTTTAGAGACAAGTTCTACGAAATACTGTCATCATATGTTGAAGAAGTCTAAGATATAGCAAATTATATTTACCACATACTCCGATCTTTGTTTTCTTCAAAGATAGTTGATATGGCCTCTCAACCATCAATAGTGTCTCATACTAGGGCATGAAGACTACGCAATTATTTGATTGTTGTTGAGGCCTTCATAACTTCCTTCAAATAAAACATTTGGAATACCATCAAATTGTTCTTACTTCTAGTAAAATCACCAAACCTTGGAAATCCCTTGTAAGATCATGATATTAAATGCATTATATCTCACTATCTATTTGAGGAAGAACATGTCATTCTTGAGGATCTTCATTTTGATTACGTTATCTTGAAGGTTGTCACAATCATAATGTTTCATCTAGTAACTCAACAAACAAAGGTTCTTGAATTGAATCTACTAGTTGTTGGTTTTCCATCTCCTTAATATCACAAATATAAAGTAGCTACAAGAAGGATAGAAAGTAGAATGTTATTTTACCTAGATCTTATTTTTTTTTTATTGGAAATGTCTTTATCTTGATTTTGATGGATGTTATTGATAAAAAGCCTCCACTTTCTTTACTGTATTTACAAGATTCTTTACTCGCTCCCATGTATATTTACTAATATTATATCCATGCCAATGAAAAAGATATTTCAACCTATTTTGGTATTGCCTTAAATCTAAGACTTCTTATACTTCAAATTATTTATTATTATCTACTTTTGTAGGAGGAAGTGGCACTTGTCTTCTCTTTAGTATGTTCGCCATCTTATATGGTTTAAGAAGAGATATGTAGAATATATGATGGATCTTCATTGATTCCAATAGGTATAATTGATATACAATCAGATTGATTTGTTTAAAAATAAAAAAAGGTCCAAGCCTACAATAGTCCAACTTGTTATAAGGACAAATAGTCTTGATATTGTAACAAAGAAACCATACTTTATCACCCATGTTGAATTGTGGTTGTTCTTTCAAATAGACACCTGCATTGATCTTTTATTGTTCTTGAGCTTCATTTAATTGTGCGTTCATTATTCTATGTAGCTCTAACAATTGATTTGCCAAATCTTTTGCCAATTGATTATCAACTATTGAAAAGTCAAAAGTATTAAGTCATTGATGGTAACCATAATTGGTAAAAAAAGGTATTTGTTGCATAGAAGAATGTATCGTATTATTATAAATAAACTTTACCAATGGTAAAAGTGTTTCTCAATCATCTTATTGATAATTAATTATACACTTTAAATAATCCTCTAAAACTTGATTAATATACTTTATTTATTTATCAATTTAAAGATAAAAGATCAAAGATAGCTTTAAGTCTATCTTTAGAATCTTAAAAAAGATTTTCTAAAATCTTGATATGAATTGAGTCTCCCTATCTAATATAATATCGTTTGAGAATCCATGATATTAATAAATATTGTCAAGAAAAAGCTTGATTGTTTCTTCACCTCTGATAGATTTTGTACATGGTACAAAATATGCCATCTTTGTAAAATAATCTAGTATCACAAATATAGAATCATACAAACTTGAGACTCAAAGATTTGTAATAAAATCCATAGAAATAGAAGACCATAGTTGTTGTAGAATAGGTAATGGCTGAAGAAGTTCATAAGGTTGATGATAGGGAGTTTTTGATCTTGAGCAAACTGTTGAAGAACAGCAAGTACTTACTTAATTACAACCACATAAAGTTTAAGCATAGTATGTTGCTAATAGTAAAAAAGCAGCAAAGAGATAAAATAAGTTATTATGGTGGTACCGAGGCTTTACTAAGAAGAGGTAGAAACAAATGTAATATCAAATGGATGGAAGTTGCCTCGTTGGTAAGCAAACCACCACCTATAAGTAAAGAGTGTTGGAAGTAAGAATTATCTTCCTCCACACTTCTATTAGAGTACAATACTTGCTAATCCTAAGTATTTGTAGTCTTTAGATTTTTTTTTTTTTTCTTCAATAGGTTATGGGCCACTCACATTTGCTTGAGTGTCTTTTGAAGTCTTTGAAGTATTTTATTTTGTAAGTATGGAGTAGATCAAGTTGTTGTTACTGATGTTAGGCATTAAAAGTACCTAACTTTCAGATTCAGATCTAGATCTAGATCTTGGTTTGCTCTTACTTGTGGTTAAGAGCATTTTGGTGTTGATGGTTGATTTATCACATAAAGTTGCTTATTTTGCTTTATACGCCTCTTTTGGTATATAGAAGTGACTTGTGAATATAAGAGAGATATTAGAGTGACAATTTAGATTTGAAAAGGTCACTAGACTTGTGAGAAGCCTTAAAAGTGAAGTTGAGAGTGTTTTTGAGAGCAAAAATACTAGTTTGTTCACAAAGAAGGATTCTGTGATTCTAAGGCAACTAAATCTTCTTGTTGATTTTAAGAGCATTAGGACTTCCTCTTACAACCTTTGTTAATACAACTCTACCTTAGACATGGCTTCAAGTGAAGGTGAAGGCTTGAGAGTTATTGAGAAGTTTAGAGGTGAAAATTTCTACCATTGGAAGGTCAAAATGGAGCTTTTGTTGGCATCTTTGGATCTTTGGGATATTGTAGATGAAAGTGAAGAGGCTCCAAGCAAAGATGCTGATATGAAAGAGAAGAAGGAATTCAAACGTCGTGAAAAGAAGGCTTTTGGGTTGATTGCAACAAATGTGGATGAAGCCAACTTCTCTCATATTATCTCTTGCAAAGGACCAGTCAAAGCATGGAAGACTCTTTGCAACATCTATGAGAGCAAGAACTTATCCAACATCATTTATACAAGGAGGAAGTTCTTCACTTGCAAGATAGAAGAAGGTGAAGACCTCATAGCTCATGTTAATAAGGTAAAGGCTCTTGCAAACCAACTAGCAACTGTTGACGAGCCTTTAGAAGAAAGTGATATTGTCATGACCTTGCTAATGAGCCTTCTCAAATCCTACAACTACCTTATTGTGGCATTAGAGTCCATCAAGATAAAAGAACTTACAATGAACTATGTGACGGCAAGACTTGCCCATGAAGTAACCAAGAAGAAAGAAAAGGAGTCCCAAAGTGAAGTTTCAGCATTGTATTCATGTCAAGGCAAGGGCAACTATCCAAATCAATGAAGTAATGTCAAATCTTACTTCATTTGTGGCAAAATAGGCCATTTTGCTCGAAATTGCTACAAAGGCAAAAAGATAAAGAAGGAGAATGCAAATAGTGTGCAAGATGAGTTTGGAGAACAAGATTATACATTCACGACAACAAATGGGACCTCTATGGCTGCCATATCAAGATGGATTGTGGATTCAAGTTGTTCCAAGTATATGACACCTTATAGGTGTTCATTTGATACTTATGAAGCTATTCCAGCATCAAACGTGGTGTTGGCAGATAGTATTACATTTGAAACCATTGGAATTGGTTCTATTATGGTGATGGTGGTTGTGAATGGACAAATCAATCAGATCTAA